ATAATTAAGTTAACGACTACTTACCGATTTTATTTATCGAAAATAAATATATATTTATAGTGCACTTCAGTACTTCAGTAAATTAAAGATAAAATAATTTCAGAAAAAAAACACATATCAGTTATGAAATGTTTATTTATTTAATTTTAAAATGGTTTCCCACTACCTTAACAAATTCAATGTTTGGAAATTCGTGTACGTCTAGCTTTTTGATGCAGTCATCCAGAAAAACTTTATTAGTTTTTGTTTGTCTTGTATTTGAACAATTTCAACAATAGACTTTATGCCGTTGGGAGGCAATTGATGTATAATTAGGAGGGAATTCGACATACCGAAAAGTTTAACCCTAATTAAAAACAGGTATATGGGAGGGAACTAGGCATTATCCAAATTTTCAGTAGGCCAAAACGGACAGTGGTAAATTGTCTCCCGATAATGACTCTTCTACCCGGCGCTGATTTGTCATGTGGTAGGTAAACTGTCTCTCGGGTACATGACGAACGGCTCTTTGCGATATGGTAAACTGTCTCCCACACGTTTAAACGTATAAGCATAGAAAATCGACAAGGTCCCTTAACATTTTTTGATTCGCTTAGTGATATTTAACTCATAAAATAATACGGTTAGGTTATAAGCATTTTATTGCAACTTGTCCGTTTGTAAAATTTAACATATCCAATACATTATTATACACTATATTATACATTATTATCATAAAATATCTCATTTCTCCAGGGTATCAAACAACAAACAAGCTCATTACTAAGCGCAACCAATAAGAATTAAGTACGAAACCGGTTTTTCAAAATCATCATGTTTTGTTTTACTACCCTTTGTTATTAGAATCGTTGGGGGAGACAGTTTACCATATCGCAAAAGCTGTTACTGCTTTCGCGCATTAAGTGAAGTCATTTTCCCGGGAGACAGTTTACCATTCATTAAGTTTACCTGAACATTTCGGGAGACAGTTTACCAACACCGGCCAAAATTGTACTCTAGGACAGTACTAGGAAATAATATAGAAACATAACTTTTAGATAAAAAGAACCTTGTGCTTTTGTTTGTTTTATAGTTAGTTCTTCTGTTTGTATGTCTATTACTTGCTCATTATCTAACAAAACATTTAAACAAATCATGTTAAACTAAATTATTGCGCCTATTTCTTTTTATATAAACTTTAAATATCTACAACAAGAAAACCTAACGAATGAGTTAATTTTTTTAATTTAATTTTGTAAACTGATCCCTGCTTTTAACAATTTAATCGACACCCCTGATAGGGATACTGAAAAAAGAGGGCTATAATTGTAACACTTACAACTGTCTACTTTTCCCACCGCACATCCACGCCATTTTAAAATTTCCGCCAGCTTCGAAACGTCGGTGTTTTTAAATAAACTGTTTTTTGTTCCCTTTCTTTGGTTTACATTTTTACCTTAAAAGAGGAAAAAAAGGAAATTGGTTCTGCTATATTAATGAAAATAATTGTGATTAGGCAAAAGTAATCGGGACAAGCAACGAGTTACCCTGCAGAAAAATTCCTTGCTTTAGTGTCACGTCTATACTAGCTATCTGATTTCAATGTACGTTGTATTATTATCCTATCAGTTACAAAAACGTAAAGAGGTGCTTATGTTCTCTGGCAGTTTCCATTAATTTTTATATAGAAGAAAACCTCAAACTTCACTTGGAGTACGTAACTTGATTCCTTCACAGAACGTTGAACGCCAACCGCCAACACCAAGATATATCTCCTGAGCTATGTTTTCTCAAGTAAAACGTCTATTAACAATGGAAAGTGACCCTATTCTCAAAATGTTCATCCTCCACCTACAATAATTTTCTTTAAAAATTACTGAAAGCAAAATATTATAGACATTTTTCATTAAAATAGGACTTCATCTCTGTCAGTGTCATTAAGTTCAAACCATAACAACTCGAAAGTCTTTGATACTCAACAGTATATTAATATCATCCTTTTAGTTTGTTCGTTCAAAACGAAATTCTCGTATTTTATATAGGAAAAGGAATAAACTGTAGTCATCATCAAATCAATCCCTTATTACTATTATCTAAGAAAACAACGAGACCGAAATGATACCGTCAGATCAAAATAATCATTTAGAGTTAACTGGAAACGTTTAATCAATACATATTTATTTCTTAAAAACCTGTGCAATTCGTGAAAGAAAGCAAGACAACAACATAAGCTAAATAATGTCTAGATACTGCAACGTCTAATAACGGCAGTATGTCGCTATCTACTGATACTATTTGCTGTTAACTGGAGTATTTTGAAATATTAGAAAAGGACTTTAGTACTGTGGTATCTATTCGGACAATGCCAAAGGGGAGTGCGGTGCTACTTAACTAAAATAGCACCATTATTTAGGCTACCTATATATTTGTTTAATTTATTATTATATATTTACATCTATATTTTGTTGCAGGCCATGAAAATTATGTCCAAAAAGAAGCTGCTCAAAAGGGCTGGTATGTTCGGACGTATGCCACCCCCTCGAAAAGATTCGAAGCAGATGTCGGTAGACAAAGATACACCACTGCGTAGGGTCTACAGAGAAATTGCTGTGCTCAAGAAACTCGACCATCCAAATGTTGTGAAATTGGTTGAGGTTTTAGATGATCCCGAAGAAGATCATTTGTATTTGGTATTCGAACTTCTGGAACAAGGACAAGTGATGGAGGTCCCTACCACTCAGCCCTTGAGCGAAGATCAAGCGTGGACCTACTTCAGAGACGTAATCCAAGGAATTGAATACCGTAAGTTACTAACGAAAATAAAAAAAAAAATTCGAAACTACAAAGAGTAGAAAATACGACAAATGGCGCTGTAAACGTCATCAGTAGTACAATGCTACATTTTAGGACTACGTATGCTTCAGCAAGGTCTATTTAAATATATGGATATCTACTTGCTGAAATGAATCCCGGCGTAGCTCACCTCAACGTGGTAGGCACGATACCATAATCGAATAAAATAATTCGAAGTGGTCTGTATTCTGTCGAAACTGCCAGACGCGGATCGCGATTTCGATCTTTTTGGATCTCATCAGCGCGTCGCAGGCAGCTCCGACAGAATACAGACCAACTTTTACATGCTGCCTTAACAGCGCGTTTTAGAAAATACGACAAATGGCGCTGTAAACGCCATCTGTAGTACAATGCTACATTTTAGGATTACGTATGCTTCAGCAAGGTCTATTTAAATATTTGGATATCTACTTGCGACGCGCTGATGAGATCCAAAAAGATCGAAATCGCGATCCGCGTCTGACAGTTTCGACAGAATACAGACCACTTCGAATTATTTTATTACAAAGAGTAGATTATGGGTTTTGTTGATTCCAAAGAAAACTATTATTATTTATTAGTTCTATAATTTTTCTACTACCTCCTATCATAGGTGTGTTTTTTATACAACTTCATGTTTTATAACCAGAACATTTCTTTCTTCCTTTTATGTCCTTATTTATTAGTGGTAAGAGTATTACAAGCTACAGATGACTGTTAAATCGTGAATTAAAGGAAACAGCCACAAAACGTATTAAATGTAAATATAGGTATCAGTAAGAGTGTGTAAATGCACACTTAGAATTTAATTGTATTACAATATAAGATTAAAGACGTAATCCGATAGCAAATTAAGCAATAATTAAATCAGTTGAAATTGAAGCAAGCGTTGCTTTGATGAAAACAATTACCAGATTTGTTTACAGTGATGACCCTATCTGTCAATTAGTTTAATCAATTGTATTCCTTTGTTTAAATTCGCAACCATTTAATGAAAACATTGGTATATTGCTTCGAAACATCGTCGATTTCTATATTTAGAATATGCAATTGAAGTATGTTTTCCAACTAAACCATTAGAAAGTGTTATAAACTTAAAAAGTATCAGACAGAGATAATTCAAAATCTCATGAGCCTTCACAATCGCGAGAGGAGGATTTTATTGCATTTTATATTGTAATTAGAAGAACATATTTCGCTATACAGGGACGGAGTTCCAGATAAACTGTGAATAATGATGACCAAGAAGAAATCGGCGAACGGGCGTAGTTTTGCCACTGCACAACCCAAGGGCGAGGTTCATGACATTCTGTACTACCCGCACGTTTTACGTTATGTATATATACCATGTAGGTCCTACGTAATGTAATTGTGCCACGTTTTATGGAGGTGCTTCATTTTTACTGTTCATATTCTTGTCGAGATAAGTACCTACTGTCTGTAATTTTGTTTTGGTTTCTAGATTTGCACAGCTACATATAATCTTATGTTAGCTTTCACTCTCGATTGCGCGATGTAATTTAAAGCAGAAAACCTCTGGTTAAGAATGATAATGGTGCTATATTATTTTATTAAGTAATAGGGAATGAAATGATGTTTATTAAAAACTTATATCATAATATATCTTCAGAGCTATATTTTTTCTTAAAAGGAATCATAGCTCGAAAATTTGTTGTTAAAAGAATTAGAAAAAATTAGCTTTTTGTATATTTATTTTAGCGATACCTATGATTTTTATTTTCGTATTCTATGTCTGTCGTTGGTAGTTATCGGTTAACGAAAAAAATGGATTTTAGCCTAATCAAAACTACCACTGTATAGGTACAGGACGCGTTCTCTAAGTAATGCGACCAATCTTTCATCTTAATCTCAATCGACTGGATGTCTATGAAGATTTTCCCTCTTCAACAAAAGCAAAAAAAAAACCTTCCAAGTTACCAGATACTTAGTACATGCATTCTCATAAACTTTTGTTTGGTTTTTACTGATTTGTGAAGCTATCTCCTCTGTGTATTTGACTTTCTGGAATTATCTGACTATTAAAACGTCTCATTAAATGATGTAACTATAGCTAGTGCAACTATTCGATGTCATTTAATCGTAAATGCCAATATTCGGCCATCAACCATCTAACGAAAGACAATTACGTTGATATAAATATTGAATAAAAATTTTAAGGTGATATAATATTGTCACGTATTTAAACTTTTGCTTTTACTATTATTACTTTTATTTATTTTCTGTCTAATTAGCAATTCTATTAATAATCAGTTATCAATTCACCACTATGCACACTTTGTCACTTCTTCGCTCCTTTTTCTTTGCTTTGTATCGCTTCGAACTCTCTGACTCGTACTAATTCCCTCTCGACCTCGTGTTAACTATTTATACAGTCTTTTCTAGAATTTTCCAGTATATACTGTCTGGAAACCAAGTTTTCTTTATCACCATGTATATTGGGTTGCCTACATACATGTGACACTGCCTCCCTCCTAAAACTGACCGTCTCCTCTGTAGGGAGCAAGACGGTCAAGATGGACAATCTTAATTTTTGCTCGAGGTCCCTTCTGAATTCGATAAACATCGTCGTTGATGTGTGGAGTAACGGTTTATGGACCATCCCAAGCATGTTGTAGTTTCAGTCAACGTCCGTTCCGTGTCGCCTTCATAAATCCATCGGAATTGGCTCGTCTGGTCGTATGCGGTCACATTCAAATTGCAGTTTCGTACGCACAGCATTATAGATGGCTTCTAGTCGTTTTTAAAGTTTGCCCACGTATTTTCTGTAGGTACTGGCGAGTTTCCAGGGCAACCAAACATCATGTTCGTAGGAAACCTGAGTTCTTTCCCGAATAAAATGCTGGCTGGTGTTCTTTCACTTGTATCATGGATGGCGGATCTATAAGTCAAGGGTAATAGTGGGACATATACCAGTCAGTTTGGTGTTCGTTAATGGCCCTTCTTAAATTGGTCTCCAGAGTAGCGTTAAATCGTTCAGCCATTCCATTAAACTGTGGATGTAAGGGCTTAGTCATCGTTTTAGTAATACCCATTAGTTCAATGATGTTCTTGAACAAAGCCGACCCGAACTTCCTGCCTTGTTCGGAATGCAATTTCAGTGGTACTCCATATCGATTAATCCAATCATTGACAAGCTTCTCAGCAACGCTGTGTGCTTCCTGGTTCGGTATCGCATATGCTTCTGGCAACCTGTATTCCACATCGCTTCTACTTCGTGGCCAATAAAATCCTTCCCCGAAAGGAGCTTGTTTCTGGTTCCATCTGGACTTTCCCACATTCTTTTCAAAACGTTGTGGTCTAACTTAAGGGAAATCCACTGTGCCCAATAATTTTTCGTACTTTTCGTTGCTTGACTCAGGTGGTTTATATCTACCCACGATGGTCTTGAGATTCCGGCTTCTTTCCATTTCATTATTGGGCCAATATCTTCGTCCTTCCTCTGGTCGTCTTCGATTAATACCTTATCTTCCCAGGATCCTTTCACCCTTCTTTCTTCTCCGCAGATGAACAATGTTTGCAGTTTTCCACGCAAGGTCTCCCTGATAGTGTATCTGCTTTGCCGTGTTTTTTGTTGAAGTCGTTGTAACCATCATGCAATCTATCCTTCTAGGTTTCTTGGTTATTGAAAGAGGAAGTGCCGTCCATGCAAGTACCTTTGGAAATGTTCGAGGGTTTTAACCACAGCCAGTAGCACTCGAAGGACGACACAATAATTTCGTTCTGGTGACGAGAGTGTTTTGCTAAAGTACCCGATTACCTTCTTTTTCCATCTTGTAGTTGGGATAACACACCTCCAAGCCCCACATTACTAGCAAACAGATTTTCCAGTTTAATTGTTGTAATACAGTGTCCACGAGTCTTTCGAATGTAGTCTGTTCATTGCACAATCCGAAGAGCATCCCTTTGAACTGTCATAAACCATTTCCTGTTGCAAAGGCAGTCTTCTCCTTATTCTGAAGTTGGATGCACATCCACTTGCCTGTATTCACTTTTCAAATCGAGAGTAGAGTACCATTTAGCTTCAGCTATACTGTCTTGTGTTATCGATTCGGGGTAATGGGTAGCTGTCCGTCAGCGTTACGTCATTCAACTTCCTGTAGTCCACACAAAATCTCGTCGAACCATTTTTCTTAGGTACCAGCACTATAGGGGAACCCCAAGAACTTTGAGGTGGTTCTATAACCCCTTGCTTTTGTATGTCTTTTATAATATTATTGACTTCCTCTTGCTTCGCCCAAGGCACTCTTTTAAGTGATTGTTTGATGGGCCTTGCTGACCCAGTGTTGATGCGGTGATATGTTAAGTTGGTGCCACCAAAGTTTTGATCTGACTGGGCGAAGACCTGTTGAAAACGTACAAAACAGTTCTTCTAATTGTTTCACTTGGTGCTTATTGAGATGGTTACTTGACCCTTGCACCAGTTCTTATAAAGTTGCAGGAAGTGGTGTCGATTTCGTTTTGGGTTCATCTTCCCAGTCACAGTGGTGAATTTCGGGTACTGATACAAATACTCAAATACACCCAACTCTGTGCCTTTGCAGATGTTTTGCTGAAGATTGGCTATTCTCACAGGTATCAATGATTTTCCACTTCTTACGAGCGTACATCCCACCAATAATGCATTCTATGTCAAGTCTTGATTGTGTGGTTCAACTATCCCCACCAATCCGCTGATGTCGTCGTCTATTTTGATTTTTACAATGATCTCGGAGTCAGTGTTCGGAACCGTACGATAATTATCGTACACATACGATAATTTTATGTCTACGTACGATGTACGATATCATATTATTATCGTACGCAGATTGTACGATAATTTTCATGCATTCAAAATTTATTTTATTCTTACCCTCTCAGACAATATCACGATGACTTTTTTTTATTCGCGAATATTTTTTTTTTTTTTTCCTCACAGCGCTATAAACATTTTTGTTATACGCAGTGTTAAATTTAGAAGAACGTAACTGCAAAAGAACGTTATCATGCTAGTATGTAGGTTTTTCCTCGGCAGGTAACATCCCTTCGTGTTGGTCACCAGATGGGTCGATGGTCTTCCCATCCACAATTTTGTGATTGTAGTCATGTAGTCACTAACCATAGCCTAAGGTCAAAAACACCCCACCAACATACCTGTACCCCCTATATCTTGCTATATTTAAGTATTTTTCTATCTACTATTGATTTTTAATTTAAATGGTGGGGGTAGTTCAGATCTGTCTTTTTACACGATTAATACGAGTAATTTACTAATTATAGTGATTATTTTGAAAAGTACGATAATTTTGCTCCATGTACGATAATTCTACGCTACAGGTACGATAGTTTCCTCGCTTCAGGTTGTGAACACTGCTCGGAGTGACTCGGTAGTACTCGATTTTCCTCCACGATCACTTTTTATTCGCATTTAGTTCGTATTCGTTTCACTAAAGAACGTATAACGAGAATTTTTTATACGAAAGGAATATTTGAAGCGGATTCGTCGCATTTTTTGAAGAATATTTATTTGTGGCATTTTAATGGTTTTCGTTATACATCATCAAAAATGTTGCCCACTCACCCAGATTCATGTCTACTTGAATTCTCTCAGTTATTTTTGAAGTGATGCAAAACAGTTTTCCTTAATAATCTTTAGTATTTCTGCAATCCACTCCAATTTACATTAATATTACTTTTGCTAGTCTCTATAATTCCTACTGCGCTTTAGTATTATTTATTCAAATTTAATTTGGAAAAATAAATAAAACGCGCCGCTGTGTTATTCAAAGCATAACCACATTTATGTTTTGAATAGCAAGTAATATACAGGGTGATTATTTTAAACGGTCAATTATACGTGTCCCAGTATATAAGGTGTCATGTCTACAAGGTGTTATATATTTAATGTCGAATTTGGTTAACTTCAAACAATCGTAAGTTCATCTTTCAAATGGAACATCCTGTATGTATTTACACAGCCTTATACAGAATTTTATTGTATTTCGAATGGTACTATGGTTTCTTATACCCGTCTCCTTTAGTTTTGAGTTTACTTACTGTTTATTGTAAGAGCAACTTAAATCGTTTATTTTTTTGCGAAGATTGCTGTGAAATTCTTAGCAGAACTTCAAAATAAATAATATAAGTTAATTGTTGCCACTCAAACATCCATATTGACAGTTTAAATATTAAATATTTTGATCATCAGTGTCAATTTTTATTAAGAACCAAAAAAGAATACACGTATTCAAATTAAGAAAAATTTTAAGAAATTAGTTACAATACAGTGAACTACAAATAGCAATAGAGAAATAAAATTAAATAATTAACGATATTTGCTGATAATAATTAAATGTATTATTTTAATGGTTTGAGCCGTTACACATGAGTTTACCGGAAGGGCAAACAATTGCTTATAGTGGGCATATCGAACGATTAAGGTAATATACATTATTAACAGTTGATATCGTTATACTTATTGATTATTTCCTATTGTTATCTCTAGTCCTCTGTACTGCACTTTATTTCTTAAAATTCTTCTCAATTTGAATAGGTTTCATTTTCCATTCTTCATAAAAATAATTCAATAATTGACATTGAGAATCAAAATATTTAATGACTAAACTGTCAGTATGGGTGTTTGAGTGACAGCAATTAACTTATAATAATTTGTTTTGAAGTTCTGCTAAGAATTTCACAATAAACGATTTTAGTTGCTTTTACAAAAAATAGTAAGTAATTTGAAAACTAAAAGAGAGGGGTATAGGGAACCCTACTAGTATTTTTGCACAAATACAGGTTTTTTGTAGAGGTTTGAGCAACTCTTTAGATTCTATAAACTCTTTCAAAATCCTTTCAATACGTTGGTCCTAGATTATGTAAAAAAGTTTTCACCACTTCCCTTCCAATTTCAAAAAGTGGAGGTCATCCAAATAGTTCCGCTTTTGATAGATTGCTTCTGTACTGACATAGACTTCCTCTTCAAATTTAGAAAGGATATGAGGTTGTTACTTCAGTAATAATGTTTTAAAATAAGCAGCCGCATACTTACATATTATCACTTGGGGGTGTACGGGACCGACCTAATGCTGTGCAGGGTTTCGAATGAAGACCATTTCTTCATACCTGTAACTAGTCTTCTTATTTAAAAAAAAAACAGATACAACTTCAGTTATTTATGAACAGTAATCCTATGTTGGTCTATCCCTCTTATCTCGGTTTCTGTTTCTAATATATCTCCCATTAACCCTTCGTGTCTGAGGTATCTATCTATCTCGCCTCGGTTTTCCCACTCTTTAATAATTAAGGATATAGGTTGTCCTAGTTTTAGGGAAATGCGAAGATTAGGATAGGAAAGAGTGGAGGTGCGTGTCCAACCAGTCTTAGGACTGACGACCTTATGATGATGATGATGATGATGATGATCACAAGTGCTTCTAACCTTTTATCTTTTTAATAATCTATTTTGAATTTCCGAATTAACTAGTAGCACAAAACTGATTTCTTTTTGTTAAGAACGCCCCGACCGTGTGCTATTGATGAATGTTTTGTTTTTTTTTACAGTGCACTATCAAAGGATAATTCATCGTGATATTAAACCTGCCAATTTGCTTATCAGCGAAAATGGTCGAGTCCAAATTGCCGATCTGGGTGTTTGCGACGAGTTTAACGGATCTGATGCATATTTATCTTCCACAGTAGGTACACCTGCTTTCACTGCACCTGAGGCCTTAGGAGATCACAAAGACAGCTTCAGCGGCAAGGTTCGTTTAGCATTTAAAAGTTCATTAATTCTCTTTAATCCATATTTTTTATCAAGTCTGACGGTATCTTGCAGTATTTTCAGTTTGCGGAACATATATATAATTAAACTTTCCGCCATTGGTCCTTTATATATACATATTGTTATTATTTTAATCTTTCCAGTTCTAGATAATAAATTTTCCCTTTTGTCGTAGCGCCTTTCTGGAACTTAGGTAATAAGAGTACAGCATAGATAAACAGCTTTCTTGAGGAAGTTCGTAAAACAACATTAAATGAATTTAAAACTTGAAGTGTTGCACTGATATCAACCAAACTGAGATTCATAAGTACTACTCAGAAGTTTAAATTAAAGTGCAGCTTAGAAGTTTGCCTAAACTATATGTACCTGCCTTGGTACTTATCTTTTTTAATTTTATTAAATTATCCCTCACAATTCCTTGCAATCCAATTTGGTCGATGTCTTAAAAACAAAATTATTAATTTACCAGTCCTACTTTATTATTTATGTAAATAATTACTTGTTATAGTGTCGTAACTACACTTTAGTATAATTACCTATACAATTTTTGGATTCTTTTGATTAATTAGAGCTTGCTATTAAGGGACCTTTAATATTATTAAAGACTTTTAGCTTCAGGAAAGTTATTTTCTGATTTGCATACAAAATATTTTTTATTACGCAGAAAATATCAGACGATTAATTGCGTTTACACTGACATTTTTTTAGTCCTTATATACGATACTAACCCAACTAAACCACGTTTCTCATTAAAATTCTTTAGAATATTATGAGTATATTATGAAATGAGAGTTTTAAGAGATGGTTACCTCGTCAATTATGGCAAAAGAAAAAGTGATGTCGATGGGATGATCATGCAAATATCTGAATTAAAAGTCCCCAACAGATTGATGGTGAGATTGTCGCTGGAAATATTCGAAAAGCGACATGCAAATGTAAAGCTGGATAGAGCGAGAAATACAGACATGTTATTGTTGTCTCACCACTATTTCGATGTATACCTAATCTCATCTTCGTGATAGTGTGATACAATATGTGCATTTTTAATTCGTATTTAAAATTTAAACCTTTTTTGCAGACATAGTTTTCAGTTTATCTCCAATAAAACATTCAAATGAATATAGAATTTTGCAGTGTATTGTTGCGTATTCAAATATCTTTCTCACTACTACCTGATATATTTAACTAATTGCGCTTTAATTAACACCACCATTGTTAATTAAATACTTGTTCACTACTATATCGCTTTTTTTCATTTCTTAGCTATCCGCTTTCTGTCGCTTCGTAATTAGAGCTCGAACTGAACTCTTCCGCCCTAGCGACATCTATTTATAGGGCCTGGCATTGTCCTAGAAAGATTCCAGAATGTGGGATCTAGAAAATATAGTCTTCTCTGTTACTATAGGCAGAGTTAGCTCATCACGACAGCTAACATCCTAAATTCTTTCCCAAATAAAATGCTGCAAAAAATGTAAAAGCGTAGTCCTCATTTTTGTAATGCCCATTAGTTCAGTGACCTTTTTTAACAAAGCCGACTCGAAGTTCCTGCCTTGGTCGGAGTACAATTCTATTGGTACCCTCTATTAATTAATCCAGTTATTGATAAACTTTTCGACAACGGTGTGTGTTTCTCGATTTGCTATCACGTATGTTTTGGGCCACTTGCTAAAGTCATCCTTGAAGACTAAGATAGATCGGTTATCGGAGTTGTAACGAATGATCTGCTATGTTGATTGCGATTCTTTCAAATGGCGCTCCCACCATGTACTACTGTTGCATTCGTCCATGACTTCTCATCTTCAAACCCTTACTGGCGGTGCATGTCGGGCATTTCTTATACCACTCTTGCATGTCGCTTCTACTACGCAGCCAATATAATCGTTCGGGTACCTTCGCCAGAGTCTTTGTAACGTCAAAATGTCCCTCGCCATAGATCGCTTCTAAGACTTCTGACACTCGTGAAATCAATACTTCCGACTGTCGTTTATCTTCGCCAAAAGATCATGTATTTTTTAAGGGACACTCTTGGTTAAGTGACCAATTCTCCCACAATTCCTGTTGTACATTGTTGGAAACTCGAGGAAAATGACCAGTATTACATTCCCAACATTTAGAGTTCCGTTGTTACGTGTTTCTAGCAGTGACTTCCTTCACATCGATTACACATTCGGTAATTAGTGACACGATACCTACCTTTGTAGGTACAACAGAATAAAAGCGACTATAAGTATTACTTTAATTAATTTAAGTAAGCTGCTTCCAATCCTGTTTGGATAATAATCAGTATGGTATTCCAAAAACACGAAAAAGTACTTCTGCCGCGTAAAACAACGAGGTTTATCATCTCCCAAAATATTTACCATTCCTCTCGAAACATCCTGTATGTATTTCAAAATGAAAAGAGCATATATTTTATATCCACATGCACAGTGTATCACCACTTAATGAGTATTTGCTGCTACATATGTGATAGCCACATAAATCATATTAATAAGAACGTTTAATAGTTACTAGAATACTTCAGTGGCAGCAAAAACCAACTAGAGGACAATACACTGCCTATATTTCGATATTACATCAACTCGTTCTTTAAGAGCTTCTTCGGTTTGGTCAGTAATTTATCGAAACTGCTTGCAGTGCACTACTGAAATTAAATATCAGAATCGCGATCCGCGTCTAGCGTCTGGTAGAGAATTTTTCTAAACACTTTTTTCTGAACTTCCAAAGTGTAATCAGAATTTGACCACGGCAGAAAAGCTAAGAAGCTTTTTGTCATCAATTAGACACCGGCTGTGAAAGCCTACGAACTGCTGTAACAATTTTTATGTTTTCAAACGACCGGGTTATATTTACTTTCTGTTACCGAACACAAAACAATTTTTGTAGTGAACTTTTAATGCGAGACCGACAGGTTCCGCTAGTGAATATTGAGGTTAAGAAGAATAAAATTAGAGATAGGATCAAAAACTTGAGCTCGAAGCGAATGGGTTTGTAAAGCGTCAAGAATAACTAATTTCACTATTGTCAGTTGTCAAATAGAAATTATACACAGAAGTTGTGTTCCTGTACCTTTTTTGCTACATATGTGACGGAATAACGCATGCTCATTCAAAAAAATTGTTTTGTGTAGGTGGTTCGTCACACAGAAGTTTAATTTTTGAATAATCCAGCGAGTGAGGTGTGTTCGTTTATCTTTTTACGCATGCCCAATTGTTGTGCATGATTTATTTTCGAAAGCTTCCCTTGCGTAAATCGTAGTAAAAAAGCGAAGGAACACACTAGATTGGTACAGAAATTCAATCATGTTTGTTACCGATACGTGTATCTTGTAGCAATAAATGTCCGGTGATTCCACCACATTTAATTCAATCTCGTATAGCTAACTTCATCTTCATCATTATCTTTTAAGCATTTCAAAATTCCCAAAAGATAAGTCAGAACAAATTTTCAAACAAGTTAAATTTCCTAAATAATCGGTGTTACCGCCTTTCATCAAATTCGAAATAACATCTTTTGTATCTTCATGGATTTTACTGGGGTGATGAACACATTAGAATTATGTTTATCATAAACAGGAACGGGCAAATCAAACAAACGCAATTTTAACTGACGGGATGTTGAAAAGTTTTCAGATACGCTAGGGTGGTCACAAATAATAACAATTTTAACATATAAACTACTTACGGTTTTCACCAATGCTTAACATTAGAGACCACATCTAGAAAACTTTTAATGAACGCCTCTGCAAACTCTTCCCGTATATTCACAGTCATATTCACATACTTACAACTACACGTTCTGTATGATACGAGCAACTTTAATCTATAAACTTTTTGAACTGGCATAGTAGTACAGTCATTGGATTCGAAAAATAGTGGTTACCTGGAAAGTTTTCCGGGAGTTTTGAAAATTGGTAATTTTATAGATTTTGAGGTGCTCATTCCGAATTTCAACTTTGCCACCTCGTATTTTTGCCGCTCGCGCCGCCATATTGGAACAATGGCGCCAAGAAGCAGTTTTTTGACAATATCTCCTTTCCGACTCATTTTAAGATAAAAACAGTTATATACAAAATGAAACTAGAGACAATTACCTACAATTTATGTATCTACCTTTTTTTCATAAAGTCAACACTTTAGGCGTACGAGTGCCGCAAAGTGTACTCCAACATGCATCTTTGCCAAAATAACTATATATATATATATATGTATGTATAGATATATGAAAATAAATAAAAGTAAAACTAAAATACTGGTATGCAAGGGAAAAAAAGTAGGGAAAGAGCGAATATAAAGATAAAAGAAAATTAGAAGAAGTGGCTGATTTTAGATATCTAGGAATTCAGATAAGTCAGGACGGAAGGAGCAATGCCTTTAATACAAAGAAGTCACTTTTCTATGCTATAGGTTTAGAAGGAAAGTTAAAAAGGCGGTTTGGGTGCGACTTGGGAGGTACACACGACTAACTTCTTTCTTTTTATTATTATTTTATTGTTGCTGTTTATGCTTACATTTTTCTTACCTTATTTTTTATGCAAATGTTCCTAACATACAATAATAATAATATTAGCGATGTCTGGATTCAGCTTTAACAAATAATACAATTTATAATAATATTCAGCTAGTTTTAGTTTTCTGATTCAAAAAATGACTTGATCGATTTTTCCGATAAGCTTATCTTTTATGTTGCATGATTATACGTCGAATACAGTTGGTCCCACGTTGATTATCTCGAGAACGAAAAATTATTCCGAACGTACGAACATACACACACATAGACATCCACTTAAAAGCAGTAGCATTCAACTTTAGGGACCTTGATACGTGAAGGTATGTCAAAATTTGGGATTCACAAAATCAAACCCATTACTATCTGGGAAGTTAAAACGTCAATAAAAGTTGTTATATTTCCGCGTATTTGCACGAACATAAACTGTAATAAAAGTTCTCCGACTTCTGTTATGGTGTGAAAATCATACGTGCATTTAGGGTTGCAACTATTTGTAAATTTGTATCAATATAATACACTGTAGATGAATATTAATTAATCTATTAACCATTCCTGTGATAGGTATAAGTAACATAAAAATCTTACATACTAATTTCCTGGAATCTACGAAACTATTTCTTTTAGAGATTTTCGAAATTTAAATATAAAAAGAAGTAGTATAAATAACCATTGAGAACGTTAAATTCAAAATACACTGTAAAGAAGAGAGAGTAGGGTAAAAAAATTTCTGCAGAAAAAAAAACAAATTTATTAAAGAATGTAAAATATAAAAATAGAGAAACTGGAAAATTTTGGCAACAATACAATCAACAAAAAAGTAAATAAACCCCAGAAAAACGATTCTACGCCTTTGAATGAGTAAGTTGGCGAACCTATTGAGGCATGTTCGCGAAATCAACATAAATCAACACACTTGAACGTCCCTTTTTCTAAATAGTCAGTGCCATATAAAGATAAAAATTCCTAAATGTGTGGAGTAACATGGTAATGAATGAAGATGTCATTACAAAATAAAGAGCAGTAAATACTATTTTTGCCTGAAGCTACTAAAAGATCTCTGTTCGTACAACTCGAATGTGTGCAACTGTTATACTATTCGGCCGTAGTGGGTGTTCGATACTTACAGAAAACCGAATGTGCAGATCGGGCTTAATAACACAAAGCAAAACTGATACTGAAAAACGATCTTTATTTGTTTATTAAATACTAGTTTTTCCGTATTTTTAAACTAGCTGTCTACTACGTCGGTAAGGTCACACAGTCTACATATTTGTTTCAACAAAACTCTCTTTAACATTGAAATGTTTTTGGTAAATTTCAAAAAGACTTTTTCATAATTAGTAAAATTTTGAGAGTTCTTCAGCCTCTTAGTCTCCTCTAAAGCTGTCTATACTCTCGTAAACTTTATATTATAGAAACATTTCAAACTTACGGCGTTGTCTTTATTGTAATAAATTAAGTAATAACTCTTTTTCTTTGTTTCAGGCTGCAGATATATGGTCAATGGGTATCACGCTTTTTGCCTTCGTATATGGAAACGTGCCATTTAACGCACAAAACGTGGTAGCCCTATATTCGAAAATCAGACATGAAAATGTGGAGTTTCCAGAAGCACCTATTGTATCTACGGAACTCAAAAAGTTGATTAGAAAGATGCTCATCAAAGATCCAGCTCAAAGGATAACGCTATCAGAAATCAAGGTAAGCAGAAGGTTATGATGAAAATGCTAAGGCTTTCACGGCCGTCGTTATTTCAATAGCCTATAATTTTCGGTCTTCCGTGATCTAAAATTGATTTTCTTCTTTCGATGAATATACCGATGGGGTCATTTATTCGACAGAACTAATACTAAATGTCAACCCTACCTGATTTTAATGCAACTGAAAGTGCTACATAAATTGTTTTGGTTTATCATGACAATAAAGTTCACAAATTGCTCTTAAAATTGTTATAATGGAGTAATATACTTGTAGGTTACATAAAAAGACTATCAACTTTTGATATTTTCTTGCACACGTTGACGCAGTTTAATGTAGTTTTGAATGGACAAACGTATTTACATCGTAAACAAATATTACTACTGAACTTAGAAAGAACATTAAGTTCTTGGTCAGCCCATCAAAATTATTGGATGTAGACCACGATTTCCAACATATTAGTTTTCATTAGCGCTTCATTATTTTGGTTTGCCCATTAAGTACGTAATATAAGATTCAATTTTTCAAGTAGATACTTTCGTAAAGCTCTTGTCAAACAAACGAAATACTACAGCTAACAGTAGATAAATATCGGCAGATGGCAATGTACTGCTTGTACAATGATAAATAAATTATAAAAATCTTCCTCAGTTCCTCCTTATGCTTAGAATGTATTTATTGAAAAATTCTATTAATAAAAATTTAAAAATAGAAAATATACATATAACTACAATCGAAACAATTCCATTTAACGTAAATGAGTAGAGTTATGTAAGCTAGATCCAGTGTTTGCAAATGTCAACTTATTTCTTCACAAATGTCTACTTGTCGATATGGACTCGAACTGGCTTATTGGGTGTCTGAAACCAACAATAACATATATTATTGATGTTCCTGACATCTAAATAGTAGAAGTGTCAGTTTAAATTATGTATTTATTCAATCAATATATAGAGGTATCCGATAGGTACCTATTCCTGGGGAAACAAACCCGAAAATGAATGCAAGATTTGTGCCCCCACTTTAAGTAATCACTATATTTATGTATGTATATGTAACTCTTTATAGGATGTACCTACAAAGTCAAAAATGAAGCATACCTATACAACAATGTTCCTTTATCGTAGTTGTATATTATTTAAGATAATTTTTCATCATTCTATTTGCCAACTAAATCGAGTTTCATATTGTAATGTTCGTGGGTTTAACAAATTAAATTTTAAGAAGAAAACTATTTATTTACACTAATTACTATTGAACTTAAGAACACTATTTAAATTATTACTAAACTTCGGTAATTATTCTATTTATTTACACTACTATTCACTGTCCTATTTATTTCACTTCTATCACTTTCAATTTATCTCTTGATTCACCTCTGCAACAGTCAATTTATTTCTACCCTTCTTCGGCGATCGTCTCTTCCTTTTTATACTCCCTTGCCTTCTGTCGGGAACGTTCTCCAGCCGTCCAGAGAAGTCTCGTTTTCTTTGAACGGTTTAATTGCTTTTCCGGAACGCAGGTACGACACAGACGTTTACAGATACGGCGCACATGAAGAAAAGCGCCCGCGGCTAGTCGGCGAATCGATAAGCCGCTCACACACACATATGCCCGATCGCACACAATCACGTTCGTGGTCGCTACAATATTTTAGCTATCCTTTTGCAACAAATATTTTAACCAAATCGGCTTTTGATAGGAATCCGGTTTCGATTAAAAGAATCTAATTTTCAAAAATGCCTTTTTTTCAAAAAAGAACGAACAAACTTCACAAACCACCGCGAGCAACACCAGATTTGGAAACTAAAAAAATATAAACAGATTAACCTTACAAAAATTCGTATAATGCCTAGCTCAGCAATTAACGTTATTTATTAGAACTCAAATTAATTTTAAAACCTTTTTTGCCGGTGGTTATTTTTTAAATGTTTTTAATCTGAAAATAAAACAATCTCTTAGTAATTTCATAATAAAAAATCGTATAAAAGCTATTCTTGTCAGCACTATTTTACATGAGAATATAAATTTATTCCGCTCAAATCAATTACTATCAAATATTTATGTGAAAATTAATTTTCAATTTTTTACTCACTATAAACTACCTCAGATTAATGAGGGAAATTTGTTGATGTTGTGTCACCGTCGTCGGGAATCGAACCCGGGACCTTTGGCTTTACGGGTCAAATCGACAAATCTGTGACCTAATAAGTACGATTTGTCGTTGTTGCTGTTGTCATCTCTCGTAGCTTAATGGTCAAAGCATTGGTTCCAAAAGCCAAAGGTCCCGAGTTCGATCCTCGGCGAGGGTGTGACTGCAGCAACAAATTTTCCGTCAATAACCTGAAGCAATTTATAGCGGGTAAAAAATTGAAAATTAATTTTCACAAATTAATATTTGATATTAACTACTATTAAATGTCAAAGTATTTCAATTACTATCTCTATAAAAAACACATATATCCTATATTGATACAATTATTTTGTAATACTTTCTTATAACAGAATTTTGTAGTTTATCACTGGTGTTCAACGTATAGAGAAGCTTTCAAAAGTAAAACTTTTTTCTTGATAATCCTGTGACTTAATTTCCTCATTATTTTTCTTAAAGTATCCTAACCCTGGCTTATAAATTAAATCATATATTCGGTCATATATATTGAACATTAGATTTTTGTAATGTATTGTGTATAGTAGTTATTGAGTGAATTGTGTTATTTGGATTTCAGGTCGATCCCTGGGTTACAAAAGATGGTTTATATCCGTTACCAACAGAAGAAGAAAATTGTCATTTGGTGGAGGTTACCGATGAAGATGTCGCTAAAGTTGTCACATCTATTCCAAAGCTTGATACACTTATTTTAATAAAGCATATGCTGAGGAAGCATTCGTTTCAGGTAGGTTAAAAAATATATCTGACAACAAGAAATATATGACACTTTATAATAGAAAGAACATAGGTATTTAATACTTGTATAGAGTATTTGAACCCAAGGTTTTGTATGCGTGAAGCATCGAACAAACTTGAGAAAGTTCTAGAAAAGTCAAGGCTGAACATTCCTCTCCCTAAAATATATCAATTTAGAATAAGATAGTCGCAAAGCGTGAGGGCTTCCCTCTGGAATATCTTAATTCCGAGCTAAATTCCTATCGCTTCAGGTGGAAAAGCATACTTAAGCAACCTACTAGGTCTAGACCTAGTCAATATTACCATCCAAAAATACACCATCACGCATCCGGTCCATCTGCATTAGTCCAAGTTTTTCTGCAGTTTCCTTGAATCATTTAGGCAAATGCAGGAGATATAATTTTTCACTTTTCTATTGTCTTCATCAATTACGATCCACCCATTCCTCCGATTCCTAAAAGGGGGCCTCCCGCCTTTCCTTCGGCTTCAAATTAGAATGTGGAAAAGAAAGACATTAATACTTAGTGGGAACTGAACTCCCGAAAGTTCTCTTTTTTATCTAGTAGTCTAGATAAATTACAATCAGCATTTGGGAAACCAACGAGTAGATTCCGAGTTCACCTGCCTTGATCCAAGATATTCTTCTGTTTTCGTGGGTGGTGTAGACTGACACTGGTACAGTACCTACTGGTAATAGTTTTTCATTCTTCTGTTGCCTTCGTTTTGTCCGTTTCATCAATCCCTTCTTAATAGCCTCTTAGACTTTTCGACGAGTCCTAAAGAAGACTCAAGGGGGTCTTCAGCATTAGCTTATAGGAATGAACACAATATTAAGTTTATTTAAAAGTGAAATCCAGCACTTCCACGCAAATGGAGCCGTAAGCTAGAAATGGTAGATATAGATATATTATTAGAAATAGCGGTATCATATGAATACAACTGTAAACAACATTTTAAGTCCAACTTTTTAGGAGAGGATATACTGTAAATACAACAATGTAGTTATAATTACAAAAGATCTAAAATCAATATTTTTTTAATCTCAAATTATCAGGTAATCAGGAAGTTATACATGTTTTTCAAACTACATAATTTTTTTTTCGTAATGTATACAGGGTGTACAAAATAATCTGAATATTGAGAACTTCAGACAACAAAAATTTTATTTTTTATATGGAGCACTGTAGATTTTCACATATTCGAATGAGGAGGTAGGTTTATATTATAAAACTTACCCGTAAATTAACCGAGAATTTCAATGATACTTCTTTGGTACACTTTGTATACGTAACTGGATCGCGATTTTTTATTCATACACTGGCGTTACGACAAAGGGCGAAATTACGTATTCATCGAGTACGACAGAGTTTGTTGATTGCATAGAAAATTCAGCTCAAGACATCAATTTACCTACCCTGCCATGAAAAGATTAAAAGCGCTATATTAGAAATCCCGCGAGTTTATAAAATTAACCATGCAGCTATAAAAAGAACAAACCGGAAAACCAATTTTCATGAAAATTTTATTACAGTCTATATTCTGATCATCGTTAATTTAACACCGAAATTCAGACATACGAAGGAATTCAGAGTAGTTCGTTTATGATAACAGAGTTATTAAAAATAACAAAAAATAAACTTTCTTTAAAGTTATTTTAAAATATGCACCCTATTTATGAATTGATAAAGGAATTAAAACATATTTTAACGGAGTTATACAAGGACTATGTTAGTGATGAGCATCCTGTATTAAAGAAAAACTAGCAAACGTAAGGATTTTTTAAAAGTTTAATACCTTGTGGGATGAAATGGGAGTTTAAATTTTGTTTGAAAAAGTAATACGTAAAAATTTAAAGCAATGATTTCGACAAAAAATGCAGGTATCTCTATGTGCAGTAGGCAATTAATGAATTAAGGTACAAAATTGAGCAATTATCTATGTAAATAAGTAAGTACTGTTTGGCATAAAATAAAAAGGTGAAGCAATATCAATCGGTACTTATCAAAACGAAGATGTGTTAAGAGGCGATTTAACAGTCAGTCAATCCTAATTGTAAGACTAGTTGAACACGTACCTCCACTCTTTCCTATCCTGAGCTAATCTTCGCATTTCCCTAAAACTAGAACAACACACATCCTTAACTATTTGCGAATCTACGTCTACCTCTACCTCTCCTAACTCCCGTTTCTGCCTCTAATATGTCTCTGAGAAACTACCATCAATTCAAAAATGTCGCTCACAATATTGTACATACCGCTAACCCTCACAGTTTTCTTGCAACCGAGCCTTAAAATAAGGTACATTTTATACTAACAATGTGTCCAGGAATGTGGATATTGTCTACAAAAATTATACTAAAAGAAATCATAGAGATAAATAAAACTTCCGGCTGGTTATTTTAGTTGCCTGACCTGTAATTGTATTCCTCTATGCTTTTATTTATTGATATTTGTTCTCATAATCAAATAATTCTTCGAGAGCAGAAGTGAAATGCGCATCAACCCATTTTGAAAATATGGAAAGACAGAAACGTAGATGCACAGCAATGGGATTGGAAATCAAGCAAAACGAATACACATTCTCTATACTTGTAAACTGATTCTCAAATTAATATCCTGTAATTCCAAAATGACCTGCGGAAAAAATGAAGTCAGTTAGATAACGCTGCTTGTTGAAGTGGGCACATTGCAACGGGCAAGGCTGTCTTAATTTTCACTCAAAGATAAATTATTCTATTTTGAGGTCAATAAGTAAATAAGAGCATAGTGGAACAGGCTTACAGGGCAAACCACTAAAAAAAACCGGCGGAAACTTTATTTTTTAGTCGCTTACATGAGTAATAGTCACTTTATAGGATTTTACGATTATTATAAATGAAACTCTTATATACCAACATTTTTATTTATAAAAAAAGTAGAAAGAGGAGACTGTGGTAAATATTAATTAATAATTAAAAGGAATACTCACCCCTAATTACCACAAAAAATTTTTTTTGAGCGGACACATGTTTCGCCCACATCATACGTGAATTATCAACGCGAGACTGTCTCGTTATGAACGTTACGCAGATTTAATTTCAGAAAAATGAAAAATATAGTTTTTGAAATTACGAACATTATGTAACATCCCCCACACACAAAAAGAATCATCTCATCTCATCCTTCCGACATCGTGACTATTTCCATAATTTTTGCCACTTTGTGACTAATCATTGCCCCCCAGAACTTTCATATTTGGCTGATACCACAGCCGTCTCTAATACAAGCCATGCTGAGAAATTTGGCAACGGCGTATTACTTCGATATGAGAGTCCTATTCTGCGAGTCTTACTTGTTATTACTACACGTCGTTACACATGATTTTTAGACACCTATTACGATAAAAATGAATTGAATTATTAAATAACTAACATTTGTTCATCCCTGATAGTATGTGACGTTATTTAAAATACACTTCAACATGTAGGTATGAAGAACAAAATAGAAAAGACAATAGATTAGGTAAACATTGATAGGTACCATATGAATTTCATCTCGATAATTGTAATTTTATTAAGGCAAATTTCCACACCACCATTAAAGTATTGCCAAGGCGCGTTACCTTTTTTTTGGGGTTCGCCAATAGCCCTACCATCCCATTAGAAAAAATTAATTACAATTTCAACTTTTCTAATTTACGGATTTTGGTTTGGAGTGGCGGGACTCTTGCTTCCTATAATTTATAATTTCAAATATACATACAATGTAGAAATCTTCCCGAAGTGAGTTAGTTTTAATATGAAATATTCTCAATTTTTACCCACTACACAAGCAATTTTATTGAGCAGATACGTGTTTCGCGCACTTCAAACATGCGAGACACGTTTGAAGTGGTCGAACTCGTATTCGCTCAATAAAATTATGTTAGTGGTAATTGGGGTGAGTCTCCTACATTATTCATTCAACAATGCTATTTTGCATTTTTCATACCGCTGCAAAATTTGCTTATCTATGAATGTAATCGATTAGTAGGTTTAAATGTAACTTCAGTTTCTTTCTCTCCTATTTATTTAATTATTTGTAAGTTTAAGGGTCATAAATTTTAAAATTCCTTTCAGAATCCGTTTGCTGAAAAGAAGCTGCTAAGTAAAGCAAGCAATCTCGACGTTACATCAAAAGTTCCTATAGGAACATCCGGCCGATCTAATTCCGCCCCTGGCTCATATGGATGGCCCTCAGATCGTCAAGTATCCTCCGAATCCTCTTTAGAAGCAGTGACAGAAGTTGACCAAATAGATGACAAATTAAATGACAGTACAGATCCGTTGCCATTGCAGCGGTGATAACCATTTTTTTAATTATATCTATTGAGTATATATTTACATATCTTTATCATTTCCTAATTTTTGTATAATTTATTATTGTGTACGAACGTCCTAAACTTTGCCTAAAAGTGATCCAGAGCAATTTAAGACTTAATCACAAGCAAGCATAAAACTCGAAAGCTTTAATATTGTTAACAATTGTTAGAAAAAATATAGTTTTTTTTAATTGCTAGCTTTAATATTAAAATGGGACCATTTCCAAAGTGTTATTAATGAAGTAGTAGAAAATTGTTCTCTCTCTTTTGCGAAAACGTTTTCTTCAGAAATTTGGATGTTAAAATGCTTCTACCTTTCACTATCGATGTAAGTTTTCATACTTATCAATTTGATCAAGCACAGTAATGATAAATATTTTTGCACAATTTTCTCCTATAGAGATAGATATAGTCATATTTCAAGTAAAAATGTATCATGTGTACTTAATTATTTGCTCTATTTATCATTTGAAACGTTTTTAATTATACTTAATGGCGTTTTACTTTAAAACTTGTAAAGCAAACTTTTGTAATGTTAAGAAAATAAATAATAATTCAGTTTTTGTACTTTACATAAAAACCTTGCAATTAACAGTTTTTAACTTGATTTACTTATATGTATACACACGAGAAGTAAAAGTGATCGCCCAGAACAGCTGATGAAAGGTTGTACAAAAAGTAAGCACTGATGCTCAGTGCCCATGCTACTTACCTTCACACTCAATTTTATGTATGTAGGTACTTCGTTTACTGCCAAGTGAATATAGTATTCAAAGCAAACAATTGTCAAGCAATTTTTAAACTTGAGAATTGTGAGATTGTGAAAAGCGCCATATTTACCGATTCCCTCGGATACTAAAAAAAAAAAAACTTTTGGGTGTTTCATTCCCACCAGCCAATAATGCTGGTAGGCGGGCAGTCCCTCCGGACTACGCCGGAAGGTAGGGCGGAAGGCCCTCTTCAGCCTGCTTTCAGGAATCGTGGGAATGGGTGGGTGGTGGTTCGGGTGAGAAAGATGAGACGGACGAAATGAAGACAGAAGAGAATGAAAGATTATCTGTGGAATATGACTGCCTCAGCATTTGCCTAAGTGATCCAAGGAAACCACAGAAAAACTTGGACCAAGGCAGACGGACCCGGAATCGATCCGGCGTCCTCCCGAATGCTAAGCAGTGTTCTAAACCTCTAGGCCATGTCGCTAGGTCGGATACTATTAATCCGCACATCAATAGTAAATTTTTATATATATTTTCTAATTGCAATCTATATTAAAATTGCATTCATATGATATATTAAAAATATCACATATCCGTTTAGACCACATTTGGGGATAAGCCACACCTAGAAATACCATTAGTGTTATAAAAAATTCACCACACTAAAAATGCTTCTCAATCTAAAAGTTTTTGCTTCAAATCACTACTTTTTCGACTACCATGACTGTGCAAGGTATTAAAACTGAAATCGAGTACCTACCTATTTCATTCAAAATTATTTACTAAAGCATTGTTTTTCTTCTCTTTCAATGCTTAAGAACAACTTAATTGTCTCGTAAGTATAACAATTTTGAAAATTTATGATTTCTTTGTCACTATTGAAATAAAAAGTATAACTTGATTTAAACCACAAACTTCACAAATACCTACACCGCGTGATAAAAATGGGCTATTTCAAAGTCCCATTGACTTTTCATTATACAGGGTGTTTCTGAAAAAGTGACAAGCTTTGGAGGGTTTTAAGTAGATACAAAATTGTAAGAAAACCAGAAGTTACAATCAAGAGCCAGTCCTGGCATGAATTCGCAACACATGTAAGAGTAGACGAAGAATGTAAACAGTGTCGATTGTGGAACAGTAACGTAAATATCAACAGCTTACTACCATACAACTACACACAATATTTTTAAGCCTATTACGATAAAACTTAATTAAAAAAACGACTTTCTTCATCGTTTAATTTAATGTACCTACACGTTAAAATGGTACCTAATAAGAATACAAAATAAAAATAAAATTAACGTTACGCAAACACTAATAGGTAAATTAATATCTTCTGGTTAGGTAATTGTAATTTTATTAATTATAAGGTAAATTTCTAAACTGCATTGTGGTATAGCCAATATAATTTACCTATTTTTTATAGGTGACTCATCAATAGTCCTATTCTCCCATTAGAAAGAATTAGTTACAACATCCGTAAACACACACACACACACACACTCCAAAAATTGTTAGAAATTCGAATCCCGCGCTAAAACAGGCTTCCATGCGTCTACCAAAATTATTACCAGTTTCTCTTAATCTCTGTGCAACATTTAAAACGGTTTTCCGATGAAGAAATCTTCGTTGAGGATATCAATGACTGTACAAATCGACCATTGCATTAACGATGTACCAACAACACCGAGAATACAAGCACTCGGCGCGCTTACGTGACGTCACCGTGGAAAGTTAGCGAGTTGTATCGGTAGCTCAGGTTAACTGTATACTGCATTAAGAGTTGTGCGTTGTTTTAACATTAAAAAAGAGGTATTTATAAATTCTCTGAAGAGCTTTTAGTTAAAAGAACGTTTGTAACCAATTAAACCCTTAAAGTTAGTTACAACTTTCTTAATTAACGAAAAAACCATAAGGTGGTCAACTTTGGAGGTAGAACTAATATATTGACATTATGCTGGATAACGTAAAAGCAAAAGCATAATTTGCTAAACAAGCATTATTATAAGCAGTTTCAACAATATTTCCAAGTTTATAATCTGGAAACGGTTTAATGTACATTTCGTCAACTATTCAAATTACATGTTTTTCACGATCCCACAATAATTTAAATAGGTTTTTCGCATACGTAGTTAAAGCACATTCTTTTCTTACGTTATAGAGTCAGTCAGCAAAGAACTGCAAAAAGTTTTACTGTATCTTGTAATCTGTAATATTAGCTTGTGGACTTATGTGAAAGATGGAGGTTAAATCATGGTAGGTATTATTTGAATAACGCTATCTACCTTTGCTTGATGTATATAATTTTAATTTTTCATACATATATAAAAACTAAAGCAGAATCACCTTTAAAACTATCTTCCCTACCATTTAATATATTATTAAAGTTAAAAGGCGTCATTAAATTGGATGTAATTCATTTCTTAATTTTAAAGTATTTGTGTTTTGCAGTCCTACAAAAATGTTTCTACCCTTCAATTAGAATTTATTATTACAGAATATTCTATAATTCTTCCCCTGAGTGGTACCAACAAAATAATACGTTCCAAATAAGGGGTGAAAAGATTTTTATTTTACAAAACAACCAAAGTTTCGCCTCAAATTAAAGGTTTTATCAAGGCTGAAATACAGAATTAAACAAAGAATTGCACAAAACACCAACAAAGTATTTTTCTTTCCTTGCTATTACAGAATATGTTAATACAGGTCCAGAAGAATATTTTAATTTAAACAATGTAACTTTTTGCTGATCACTAATTTTGAACTAGCAATCAGGTACAAGTTACGAACAACAGGACGCTCTTTAAAATTAGGGTGCGAAAATGCTTTTTGATAATTTTCATATTCAGTTTTGTTAGGTATCTGTAATCGCCTCTGCAAAATTTTTATTTTCCTGTTCGTGAACGTAACTTAAGATTTTTGAATAAATAAGGACAACAGGGAAGTTAAGTGAGTATGGCATCGTGTTTTAGTATAGGAATTTTTAAATTTACGGTTGTACTTTTGCTGGTTTTTGAATTCGATAATGTTGATATTATATTTTCCTTGGCAAAATGTAACTCTCAGACTCTACTGAACTTTGATGGAGAAAAATCTATAAATAAACCTTACCCATTTAGCAGACATGGTTGCGACAATTTAAAGCAGACTGCTAAAACTTGTACCTCTTTATATCTACGTCATGCGGCTGACGTCAGAGCACCTAGTCCTTGTATTCTAGGTGTTGTTGGTTATACTCGCATTCATCGTAAATTAGTATCATGTCACAAAGTTCTACCATACTAAACATCATTGTAAAAACTGCTGTTCCACACCTTCCTATAACAGCAACACACTGACTTACTGCCAGCTCGTTGCATAAATATAAGTCTACAAAGGACTAGTTGTAACATAAACATCGTCATTCATACTTACCAGCTGTTTGAATACGGCGTGGCATTGTCGCATTTCTTGCCGGGGCCGGAATTGCATTTGCCTGTACTTTGAGTTACATTTTTCTCGAAAAGGTGAACTTTCGGGCATACAAGCATTTACAAAATTTTCTCTAGTTTTAGTCTCTAACCGAGGATGGCATCTTGGGTATCGAAGCTCGTCGACGTTTTGTGGAATTTCGGGCGTTGTAATGTTTGTTTAGTTAATAGATAGACCCACAGATTGGAGATCGGTTGCTCAAACTGACTACCTATGATGGTCACAATCATTAATAATTAAACGAGTTTAAAAAAGTAAATTTCAAGATAAGTTAGAGTTCAATTGGTAAGATCAAAAATTGCGAGAGAAATCAAGTCAACTCACTTACGCAGACTCTCATCCAACGACTTGAAAAAGTTGAACATTTGGAGGGCAGGTCACGTCGGTTATTCAAACTTTTGCACATTGACGTCCCATAGCTTACATTCACTTATCAATAACAGTTTGAAGAGCACTATTTTGATCGATTTGGTATAATTTGATGTGAGATATAGGTACGGGATAATCTTCGACTGAACCGATGAGACTTTATAGGCATGAATTTATATTCATAGATGTGAAGTGATTTAGGCTACTAGTTTTAAATAAATATGGCCAAGCATCTCTACAACTGTTTCAAACACACACTATACGTTTTTGGTACGGAAACCTAAAATTTCATACGAACATCGAAAGCAACAGATTTTTTTATTGAATTTATCATACATTGTACACGAGGTTTACTAGTTTACACAATATGTGCAAACACACGTAGAAGCAGTGTAAAAATGTTTTTAAACGAACGCGCGCAAGTATTTGTCCCATCTTTACACTGCCTAATTACAATTATCATTATATTATCATTATTACCTATAGCTAAGTATGTAAGGATCAAAAACGACGACCAAAGTGTCAAAAACTAACGTTAAATACAAAAAAAAAAAAAGAAAACGCGAGGGACATAGTAGTCATATTTATCCCGATTTACCGAGTTATTTAAAATGCAATGCCACAAAAAATATTTTGTTGATCGTTTAAAAAAAATGAATCAAATAGCACTAATACCGAATAGCATACTGTATGTAAAAGTAAAAATGTAATTAACAAAACAACCATTCATTTTTTGGTATATCTTTTTTATCCAGCACAAACACACAAGTCTGGATGTGCTGCATAACTCTTGTTCACAATTGAAAATTTCACCGTTTTTTTAAAATATTTTTTTTTAAATAATAATTCACAATATAAACTAGTTAAATAGACACACCAAAGTTCGTTCTTTTTCTTCTTTCTTACTGTTCTATTCTTGCATTTTAATTTTTGTCCTCGTGTTTCTTTTCAATATTTTCCTCCCGCGGTCGCGCGCCCCCAAATATCGTCGACGTCTGCGACGTTTCGGCGACTGCATTGACAGGTGCTGAAACCGTCCTCGGCTGCAACTTTAATTTCGGCCTACCACTTGTATCTGAAAATTAATGTGAGATTAAGAAAAAACCTAGAACGTACACATAAAAAGTATTATAAAATATTTATATATTATACATACACACATACAGTTGATCCAACAAAACCGAAATCATTATTACAAAAAAAAACAATGCTACTGCGAGAATAATTACCCTAGATCACCATTCATATTGAAAGTGATTAGTATCAAAAGTAATTGTTAACGGTGAAAATTTACAAACTTGCAAGGTTGCCCTTACGTTTTCTATTTGGCAATTGTGTTTGCCGTTTTTGGGTTCAGTTGATTTCGTGATTGTGACCTTTTCGAAGTTCTTAAAACTATGTCAATAAACAGCAACAAAAAAAAACTATTTTTCTTTCAAGAACAAAAGTCGTAGTGTAAATAGTGATGCTAATTTCAAATAAACTATCCATCCTATCCTTTGCTTTCAGCATAATTTGCTTATTATCAAACTTAATTTTCGTTCCAAAGACATCGCTTATATTACATAATAACGGTACAGTCTAAGAAATCGAAATCAGACAGTGATCAGTAAATCTTATTTTAGTTATTTCCGAAAAATATTAATATAAATTTGAATTAACGAGACAATTCACACAGTAAAATTTAGTTTCAGATAATGCCAGTAACGTAAACGCTATACACATCGTATAAGATATACATATCATACATATAGGACGTTCCGATTGTTTCCTTCATTTGTACTGGTCAACTATCAGTAAAAATACACCCATTTATGCTTTTAAGGAAAACTATTACTTACCTGCCGTAGGATTTGGCAAGTCGTCGTTGTTAAGCTTCCTCTCCTGCCGCGGTCGCCCTGTACCGCCGAAACCACCTCCGCCTACTCCTCCACCACCGGAGCCACCTCCGAACCCGCCGGGTTTGTGGCCGCCCCTACCCCATTCTCTGCCACCACCACCACCACCACCACCGCCATCTTCACTGAAATTTCCGTAATTGCCTCGATGACCACCCCTGTCTACAAATATTTCAATACAAAAATTTTTTCAATCGAAATATTTTCGCAAAAGTGGATACACATATCATATTTTAATTCCCACACTAGAGGCGAAAAAAAATTATCTATGCTATTTTCAGAGTAAACAATTAACTTTCCTATTTATAAGATATTTTAAGTTGATTTGTCTTCTTAATAAATATAAATATGTATTATTTTCAAATGAGTTCTCATTTTCGAATGTCCTAAAAATGTTATCAGTAAATCATATAAGTCGATATCTTGCGGAACTACAAAAAAAATATTTTTCAAGCTGCTGCATTGTAATCAAGTAGGATAAACCGTAGAATAATTGATCAGCAAACTTGATAAAAACGTCACACTTAATGCGTGCCAACGTCTAAATAAATTCCTATATTGACACGTTATAATTGGCCTTCATTGTGGGTGCTGCATCGTTCTTCTATAAGCATTACAAATTCAAAGATCAAACAAAAATTTAGTCAACAGCCTTATCATTAGTTATTTCCTGAACACTACAATTACTACCAAATAACTGGAAATCTATGAAAAATTAAAATATGAAATATACACATACTGTTTTCACTTGGCTAATCCACTAAGTACAAAGAATTTAGGAAAATCTATACATTACTGATATATATAAACGTAATAGATAGAATAAAAAGGCGATTTCAGAGCCAAGTAACTCATTTTTTTCCAATCATATTTGACATCAAATAACACCAAAAATCGGCTTTTGATGTGTACCTAATTGATAACTACTTTACTGTAAGCAATAGGACGCCAATTGACAAGGTTTACGGGTGTCAATTAGTGAATTCTTGCATTAATTTTTCCTTTTTGTCTACTGTTTTGTTGGTATGATAGCTTATAGCTGACTAACTGACCTTAAGCTACTTGGTCATAAACCGTTGTGTCGATGAATTTATTTTTTCTGTCCAACTCTTTCATGTCACAGGACGAAGGTTTACGTAAGTGCGTCGAGTTCACCATTCAATCTTCGAATCTGTTGTTTGGCGTCCAATTGTTTTTTACTACACGTCAAGGAGAGCATTACGTTGATAGATTTACTATCATTTGATATGATTTGATTAGAAACCAATAAGTTATTAACTTCCCAGTCATACGAAAGTTATTGTATTGGGTCAAAAAATCAAAATCGTAGTTTTTTTTGCAATTTAAAGGTCACAAATCATTGTAACACCGGACATAAGTTGGAGGTGCGTGTGTGCGAGTATATACACATATGTACCTACTTGGGTAATAATTTCTTTTCTACACGACGCGACATTGGGCCAACAACAAATTACATTGATTTCGTTGAGGTGCCGATCGAAGTGTATTACCAACAATATGATCCAAAACATATTTTATAACATTAGCTCAGGATGGTTTGTAAAAATGGTACATTAGGGGATTCATTTACTTTATTTATACCCAAGAAAAACACTAAGGCAAAATAAAAAAAATAAATATTGATTATTTTATACTGGGAAGTTGGTCATGTGGACCTCCACGGTCGCAGCTTGTTTGACTTTGAAATCATCTACTTATTTTATCTGGCACTGTTTATAAATAAAATTGAAGTATCTATATGAAAATGCCTGCCTTTTTAACATCACATGTCTATTTGCGTTCTACTAAGACCCAAAAAACTCTTAAAAGATTTTCTGATAGATTTCGATGGGACTAGAGGAGGTTGTGAAGAGTGAACTAGGCTACTTTTTAAATTATTTATTGGTTACAATTGTAGTTATAAACAAATAGAATTAACGTTGCCGGAAAATTATTTACGTTAAAATAAAAAATTTCGTGTTTAAACTGTCCATTTTATCCTAATTTTAATAATCAATAACTAATCACAGCAGTAGACAAATCGCTGCTGGTAACTGCAATATTTATACAACTTACCTGCATAATTCCCCCGATTTCCTCCGCCCCTACGATCGTAATCGTCGTAAGATCGATGGTCACCACCAGAACGTCCTCCTCCACCTCCTCCTCCTCCTCTGAATCCCCGATTTCCTCTTCGATCAAATCCACCACCTCTATCGTTTCGTTTACCTACATAAAAAAAATCAGAAAAATTACTATACACTACAACTCAATAACATCTCTATATTTTAAAGTAGAATATTCAAAAACACATATACCTATAATAGCAGATCAATATTTTTATGGCAATGAAAAGTAACATTAGAGACAAAATGCGGTAACAGAAAGAAAATAAACAAAAAATGTGATGTAAATAAGACATGGATGAAAATAGAAAGCTGACAATCATTTAGCAAAAAAAAATAAAATATTTCAACCATCTCCAAATAATTAAAAAGGTTAATTAAATGTGTAATAAGTCTGGGTCTGACGATCTTCTCCTTTGCGGAAATATAATTAGGGACAACATCAAATATCGTGGACATCTAATTATATGATTTTAAAAGATATACGAATATGTCCATAAATACAAAAATAAGAAATGACCGTGGGATATCTGCTTTTCCATCCTACTACCCAATTAATTAATGATAAACAGACAAATAGGTAGAAATTAAAAAAATTTCATCTTTCAGGCACCCAACCAAAGATGTCTTAAAAGAAAATACAATACATTATGTCCATACTTTTTAAAATGTTTCTGTATTTAATCTAATTTTATGGTAATTAGTAAAAAAACCGACGCTACTAGTAATTTGAACAGCAAATGAATAACCTCATAACAAGATTGGTCTTAAGATAAAACATTTTTTTTTTCTATAATTTAAATTTTTATAGTTTGTTGGGTATACAACACAAAACAAATATAAATACCTAAGCACCTAGAGGGTAAAATAACCAAGTACACATACTATCTATACCACATTTGCTTAAAATGTTTTAACGTTAATTCTATATTTTGAATTGGTATTTATTAATTATTAAATAGATAAAAAGAAAGGATATGCTTGACTTACCTTCAGCAACATCAATTTTGACCACATTGCCTTCGACTTCTACTCCTCCATCCATTTCAACAGCACTTTCAAGATCTTCCAATGATTCAAATTCCACATAACAAAATCCTTTAAATTTGTCAGTTTCTTTGTCCATAACCAGCCGTACATTTTTTACTTTCAACAGAGGAAAGATCTTATGAACATCTCCCTGAACTATTCCTGTTGGTAAGTTACCTATAAACGCTGTGAAAGGAGGCTCTGTGGGAAAAGGTTTTTTACCGCTTCTTCTCCCGCCTCCACCATAATCCCTAAAAATTGAAATCAGTTTATAGAAAGAAATAAATAAATAAATAAAAGGGTAGGTACATAACGAAGACTTGTACCGGGAATTTTTAAACGCCCACCATAAAACATAATGAATAGGTTATTTTTGACAGAGATATGTATCATTAAGTAATTTACTAAAAAATGTGAAAATATAAGCGGAACTTAACAAATTTACATTTCAACTTAATTTTACCTGCTATCACGATCATCATAACCACTTCTGCCGGCCATGTTTGCTAGTCAAGGACTCGCACGCGTCCCCAGATTCTTGGATAACCAAGCTAGCCAACGTTCTCATGAATTCATACTGAATGATAACAATTATGAATATTGTACGTATTTTTCAAACTTTATAGTGAAAAATGAAAAAATTATTCAAAATGATCAAGTTTTTAAATAGTTTCAAGATATTAATAGGTTTTGACATACGGCAAATTTTTGCGGCAAACAAATTTGACAAATGAAGTAACATCAAAAAACATTTATAAACTTTGGTCTCTTCAGTCTTTTTCATTGATAAAAATATTTTAAATATCTAAATCATCCAAATAAAAATAATTTACTAATTACCTAAGTATACCTATCTTTCTAATAAATTATTAATAAACCTCGAAAATTAAAACAAAAAATTAAAAGTTATTTTGCATTTTTTATGTTACCATACCCGATTAGCCTGAAGATGAAAACTGGGGTGCCGAAACGCGTTTTAGGTTTTTTAAACGTTTTGAGCGAAATTTTAGGTTAATACAGGTATTTATTCGAATATCAGTGTATGTACCTACTTTCCTTTCAATAATGCACATGTATTTATAAGTACCGTGCACGTTAAAATAATATTATTTTCATTTATTTATTGAATGAATGTTTATTTGTTTTCACTGGTTGTATATGTATTATCAACATTTATTACAAAATGTAATTGGTAGTATTCATAAAATTGAAAATTCCTTAAAAATTAGGATTAGCTGAACTTGCAACTTGAAACTAATCAGGAACTAATATTATTATCTATAAGTCTACTCAACCATAGACAATACTCAAAATCAAAATAAAAGCACATGCACCACTACAACCATAACCTAAAACATTTTTGTAAACTATAACCTCATTTTCTTAATAAATCACGATGGCTAAACAGACAGTAAAAAGTGGTAAAATTAAAAAAATTAAAACCTTTGCCAAAAAGTCTCAGGTACTTGAGTGCTTTTCAAAATTATCACATAAAGCAGTAAATTTGAGGGCAAAAAGTGGTGTTTTTCTACTGAAACACTTAGAAAGTGATAAAAGTGAACAAGTAAGTACCTATTGGTTGTTTAAACCAATACTTATTTGTTGAAAAATTAACTTTCAGAAAACAATTGAGGAAAAGTATACTTTGAATAGAATAATAAGAGGGTTGGGTTCTTCAAATGAAAATGCAAGGGCAGGATATTATTCTGTATTAGTAGCGCTATTGTCTAACAATAAGTTTACGTTTGATCAACTTAATGAAAGCATTGAAAAGAATTTAAAACCTTCAGGAAACAACCCTAAAAGTGTAAGTTATAATCATATACTCATTGGCTTTAACTTTGAAAAGGTTCTTGTTTTAAGGAATATGCTGATATTCATATGGGTTTAATTTTATCTTATGGGGCTACAATTCGTTCAGGTGTTTTTTGTACATTCAGTGAATCTCAACAAAAAGAAATCATTGAAAAAATGTTAAGTTGTGGGAAGAAAAGAAGTTATTTTTTTTTAGCTGTTACAATGTTTTTGGTAGACTTAATTGAAAAGGTTAGTAGAAGTATTAAACTTTATTACCTCATCTGCTCTTATTTCTACATATAAACATACATATTTTAGGATGAAGAAGTTCATTTTTCTAAAATTATCTGGCCCGTATTGCAATTGGAAATTACACAGGAATGGTCAAATCAGAATATAAATTATTTACATTTGTTGGTCATTCTAAAAAGTCGATTTCCCAACATAATTAAAAAGTTACTCAAAAGCAAGTTGGGTCATGAAGATATATTCTCTGTTGCATGCATTAAGCCATTATGTAATGTTTTATTGGTAAGTAGTAATACATGGAATATGTTTATTTAAATGTTGAAGTGTTTATTTATAGAACATACCATCTAATAATTTTCTTCTAAATCCTGCATATGCTCGTATAAGTGAAGAAATTGCTAAATCAGATGTTTTGCATGAATTCATAAATGAACTGGATCAAAACATCATCAAAACAACTAGAAATAAGTTTCTAGCAGTTACTATTATATTAACAAATGTAATACTTTACTTAAAAGGTTCTTCGCAAATTGCAGAAATGATTCCAAACAATTTTTTGCTACACCTTCAACAATATTGTAAAAATGTAGTTAAAAATAATGATCCAGAAGTTATGGAAAAGGCAAACCATTTCTTTAATGCCCTTGCCTTAACAATTAAAAATCCTGAAGTGACTGACAATACAAAAATTAATTGTATAAAAAGATTACTTACCTATCCTGGTCATATTTTTATTGAAAAAAATATAAAAATAAAAATAATTCAACAAATCACTGCCACACTTAGCACTGACGGTATTAAGGAAATATCTGAATTTTACAAAAATATTGTAACGGCACAAATTAAAAAGAAAACAAACAAAGGGTATGATAGTTGGCATAATGCTGAAAGGCTTTATGCATCACAAATGTTCGCAAGACTATTATCACATCCAAGTGTTCGTAATGAAATTGAGTGGAAAACGGAGCAATTAAAATTTATTTGTCATCAAGGATTCATAAAAGATGATGAAACTAAAAACGTTGGAGTAGAATTAGCAGGTAAACATATATTAAAAATAAAGTCTTGGCGTAGTATAAGTATCTTTGTAATAACTAAATAACTGTTTTATTGATTTATTATAAAAGTTCTTCTGGTAAGAAAAATAAAATTTGAAAGATGGTAATCTAATATTTCCCAACAGCTTATGTAACATTTCACTGTTTTAAGGTAAATATTAATTTTTCCGGAAAAATTTTAATCTGTTACCATAGTATAATCTACAAACTTTTTAGGAAAGTTTTTGGTATATTTTTGTTAACTGAATTTTTACTAAAAGCATTGAAATATTTTTTTGTTACAGCATCATTGCGCGAAACATTCTATCACTCTTTGGATCTAAAATTTTCTAAACTAGAGCATCTTCGGACAGCTCTCGCAGTAATCGTTCGTTACTTGCAATCTTTTCTTTCGCAAGAAAACTGTGCTGAAATTTTACGTGTCTCATTGTGTTCAGAAGCTCTTGAAGCATGGCAAAGTACTATCAAGCAAATACAAAAACTTGAAGAGAAAATTGTAAAAAAGAATGAACCGACTCTTGTTGTTTTTCACACTCTTTTCCTTCAAATGAGTTTACAACTCTTTAATGAACAAAAATTAGCTGCCACTTCTTTAAAAGAACTGCTTCAATGCTATAAAAATAAAAAGGAAGAGAAGAAAAAGAAAAGAAAGTCGGGAATTGAAGAAAGCAATCTAGAAATGGAAGACATTAACTGGATTGAAGTAGTGATAGATCTCTTTTTAAACTTATTGTCACAAAACTCATTGCTGTTGAGAAAGATAGTTAATTGTGTATTTCCTCATTTATGCAAGGATTTAACAACTTCTGCAGTTCATCAGATATTGGCTGTATTAGATCCAAAAAATGAAACTAATCCTCTGTCTAATTCAAGTGATACTGAAGATGATGAAGATGACGAAACAGAAATTTTAGCTGAAGACGAAATTGAAGAAGATTCTACGGATGGTGAAGACATCGACTATGAGGACAATGAAACTGTAAATGATAAGTTAAGAACAGCTGTTCGAAAAGCACTTGGTGATGATGGAGAACAAACAGACAATGAATCTATAGATTTAAATGAAATGAACGAGAATGAAGCTATGGAAATTGACAAAGCTCTTGCCCAAGCCTTCAAACAATTTAAATCAAATAAGGGAGGAAAAATTAAGAAACAAACTAAGGAAGCCGAAACATTAACACATTTTCGAGTACGTGCTTTGGATTTGATAGAAATATACTTAGATTCGGAACCACCGCTGCTAACATGTTTAGAAATTATGATTCCACTGCTTAATACATACGAATTCTGCATAAAAGATGAACATCAAAAACCCCTTCAGGATCGATTAGAGTCATGTTTTAAGAAGTTGACATCATTGAAAAAATTTTCTTCTACTGATGGGGTAAACGATGAAGTATTAAACACCCTTGTGAAGAGTTTAGTAGAAAAGGGTTCAAAAAGTACCTTAATTGCTCAAGAGATGTCTGATAAAACATCTAAATGCTGTGTTTTTATAATAAAATGTTCAATAAGCATTTGTGAGGCATCAGAAACTGCCCAGCAAATTAGAAAGAAATTGAAGAAGAATTTGGCGCAAACTTTAACCGACGTTTTAAACTCATTTTTTAAAGAAAAAAGTTGCATAACTTCGTTTACATTATTTAAAAATGTCCTTGAATTAAATTGGAGTGGAACACTATCCTTAGTTTCAAAATTGTATGATATTGTTTTTGATGAAAGTGTAAAACCGTTTAAAAGAAGTCAAGCGTCTGAACTACTTACTATTTTCTACAAAAACCACAGATTCCTAAAAGCAGAATCATCAAAAATTCAAAGAAAACTGCAAGGTGCTGAAGTGAAGTTCTCTGAAGATTTAATCAGATTTCTTCAAAGCCTTGTTGATAATCCAAAACAAAGTTTGGTAAGAGAAAAATTCCTGACAAATATTTTTAATCTGCTGCTTTCAATTAAGAAAGGTCCCCTTAGTGATGGTCATCTAAATTGGGAAGGTGTTGGTACTGTACTCTCGAAATATCGAGTTGTTGGTTCCTTTTCAAGAGACGCAAAATCAGTTTACAATCAATTGTCTCACGTTCTTAATTTGCGAAAGTTTGATATAAAAGAAATTGAAAGAAATGATAAAAATATTCAACAAGAGAGCGATAGTAACGTAGAAAATTTACAAGAAAATGGAGATATTTCTGAAAACGAAAATTTAGAAACCAAGATAGAAAAGAAAAAGAAGAAGAATCATTCCAAATCCAAAAAACTTAAGAAACAAACACAATTTGAAAGATTACAGTCTAATTCTGAAGGTCTTATAAGTATTTCATTTTCAAAAGCAAACGCAATGGAATCTGAAATTTTAAGTGATAATGGTGACAAAAGTACAAACAACATTGTTAAAAATAGTACAAAGATTAATAAAAGTGTTGACAAATTGGGGAAAATAAAGAGAAGAAAAAGTGAAAGTAAAAGCGCAACAACTCCTAAAAAAGTCAAAACTAAAAATTAGATTCCAAATAGTGGATATTTTATTATTAAAGATTATTGTATTATAAGTGTATGAGAATATGAACAATTACGTTTATAATTTTGAATGTGTTAGAAAATGCAAATAAAATATTTTTTTTGCAAATGTGTGTAGGATGCATTAGTTTAATTTACATATCATATTATTAATGAGCTATACCAATAACACTTATTTTATATCTATTAAACGTAACATGCTTCCATCATTAAATTTTTTGCTTAATTTAGTGTTGCATCATCTTTTTTAAAAACCTTGCTAATTATTAGTTAAATGATAGGTACGTAAGGTAGAATTAATTTGTTACATTCTTACTGAACCAAAACTTCAGAAGAAATTGATTATTTTCAATTTGTTTAAATAGTCTTAATTTAATTAATAGCTACCTACAATCTTAAACATGTCTGTCAAAAATAAATTAGTAAAAATAAAAAAAAAATGCATCTTACCCAAGTATCTTAGGCATATTAAAAATACCGGGCATATCTACTAGAATTCTAAGTTGTTGAGTTGATCTTTGCTGTTTTAATTTATCATAGGTATTAGCATTATGATTTGCATCACAGTTTGTGATTAATGGGTAAATCAGGATAAAACAAAATAAAATGAAATAAAATCACGTATGTAGAAAAAACTTCGTGGACACAGCAGCCAGAGCTTTTTGTAATTAAAATAAGTCGATTGATTCGTTTATCTATAAAAGGGCGTCAACGGTACCAAAAAGAATAGTTTTTTTTGATTATTTAAAAATGCTTTGTACTATTTCAATTAAACTTGGTATGCGGATTTCTCTATAAATGTCCTAATTTCTATTTCTAATCAATTTTCTTAAAATACGACAAAGGTGAAACTTACCCCTACCTATAGATACAACTGTTCAGAACTTACTTAGAGAGTTGGACAAGTACATTAATGATTTTTTCTTTTAAAGATATACATACTTCTTCATCATTTTTATCTTTCATTAAAAAATTATACCTGCAGCAATTTTAGAGAAAAAGAATTCTGTATCGACTTTCGACAAAAATTCTTTCCTTATCTACATTTTTGTATCTTGTAAAAAGCCCTATCTGCAACAGCTTGAAAAAATATGTTGTATCTGCCTTTATCATATCCAATTTTTGTATTTGATTGTGAAGTTTTAAAATTAGCTGTTTGGTAATCAAGACTGTTTTCACACTTACTTTCACTCCTTTCTATCCTTAACTAATTTTCCCTAAAAGTAGAACCCCTATTTTTAACCTACCCCAACCTAATCTAGCTTTACTTTATCCAATGAGTTTAATTTTAATGTAGGTTGCACTTGCACTGTGATTGTTTTGCCGGCACAAGATAGATGCTGGTTAAATAAGATGCCAATCCAAAAAAGGACAAAATTAGGGGAGTGCATTTATACCATGCATTAAAATGTGCTACATTTGCACCAGTAATACAAATTATAAAAACATCGATATTGATACAAATTATGTCAAAAAAATTACCAATAAGGTGCAGACTAATAGGATCTGAAGGAATTGTTAAATTTAGTACATTTATGACCTTATTATTACGAGATTGTCTTTCCAAAGATTATTTGGAAGTGTACCTTCTTCTATTCTGAACTAATCTGCATTTTTCAAAAACTAGAACACCTCACATCACAAACTATTACTATTTGAAAATAGTAATCTAATACGTCTTATTATTCTCTACTTCTGTTTTTGCTTCTAATATATCTGTTTCTCCTTTTCCGTATTGACTTCCACATCGCCCTCTATTCTTCTATTATTTTCAATACCTATCTCCTCATTCCTAACTTTTTCTTCCCATGCTATTTTCATCCTTTTATAGACAAAGATCTAGGGCAAAAAAATGCTTTGAATTTACTACAACTGGTTTTCTAACAGTTGGATACAGTAGTTGCGTACACACCATACTGCGGTTAGTCAAGCGAACTGTAGAACAGGCGTTTCATAAATGCTATCAAACGTGTCATTATTACAGTGGTAGTAAAATTAATTTACTAAAGGTAGAAACTGTTATAGAGATCGTATGTTGCACATAAATAACAGTTACGTCAGTCAGTCAGTTAAATGTGGGGACGGAGCTGGTCAGTCAGCCCCAATCGATCTACAATAAATAAATAACGTGCAATTTATTCAATAATCTTAAAAATTTTCAAAATTTTTGTTTTACTGTACAGTAATCATAAATAAAATTGTAAGTTAACAATATCTTGGACTAACTTCGGTTCGGGGTTGGGATAGTGTAGACAAGCTTAATTTTTTTTTTCTGAGCGAGTGTTTCAAATCCGTGACGCTTGAAAAACTTTGACATCTGCGCGAGTTTTTAACCTAGACTTATTTTTTTTTGTTGGAAATTGTTGCAGAAATTCTTTAGAGAATCACTTGCGAGTGCAAAAGTGGCTGCAAAAAAATTTGCAAATGTGGACAGTATGGGCTACATACATTGTTCAGTTCTCTGTTCATGTGATATGGAAAGTTGTATTAATTTCCTTCTTGCTGAAAATATTGAGCAGGGAAAATACCAAGGCGGCAATTGAGACAATCAATATGATGATGATGGTGATTTAAACTTTTCACCACTACAAAGACGTCATTTATAATAAATTTACAAATCTATAATTAAAATGCAATTCATAAAAGTTTACGTTCACATACTTATAAAAAAACTCGTGATGATATCGATGTTTTTTCAAACGTCACGGATTTGAAGCGTTCGCTTAGAAAAGAATCAACCATCATCTCTGTATCTCGGCCACTCGAAATACTCGTTTAAATAAAAGTACCTAGTTCAATAATTTCGTCAATTCATTAGTTTATGTTGTTATGTTATTTACTACCCATGGTTTCTTTTCTTAATATTTATAAACAAGATCTCTGTGAGTCTAAAAAAAAAAAAGCTTTTCTTGACTCTCCGTTGAGGCATCAGACTTTTATCTTGTGGAAATTTATTGTAAATAACTCTACATTCTGCTCTACACTCCAGAAGTCCCCAGCTTCGGGCCAACGGACTTCCTAATACATACTACGAGGGTGGATTGATAAGTTTCCGGCCTAACCAAGAGATGACGCCACTAGGCTTACCTTGAGGTGACATTCTATAGTACCATCCTTGGATAGCTTGTAGCTATAGTTTCAGCCCGATCTCCTTGCTAGTGTAGGTTTGACAGCACGCTGAACAAGACGCCTCTGTGGTTTTCGTAAAAATGGAAAAGCAGGAAAATCGTGCTGTCATCAAATACTTTTATTTGAAGGGGTTAACGCCGAAGGAAATTAAAAAAGAGATGGACTCAACACTGGGGACATCCTCCCCGTCATATTCAACCGTTAAGCAGTGGGTTTCCGAGTTTAAAAAGGGTCGTGTGAGCACCTCTGATGGGCCTCGCTCAGGACGCCCCGTTGAGGTCACAACTCCAGATATGATCGAAAAAATTCATCAAATAGTGCTGGGAGACCGCAGATTGAAAGTGCGTGAGATAGCTGAGACCTGTAAGATGTCATATGAACGTGTGCAACATATTTTGCACCAACATTTGCATATGGAAAAGCTCTGTGCAAGATGGGTGCCGCGTTTGCTAACAGTCGACCAAAAATTGATTCGAAAAAACATTTCTACCGCAAATTTGTCATTGTATAAGCGTAATCCAAGCGAATTTTTGCGTCGATTCGTAACCGTTGACGAAACGTGGGTCCACCACTACACTCCTGAAACCAAAGAACAGTCTAAACAGTGGATTGGACCAGGGGAACCAACTCCAAAGAAGGCAAAAACAATTTTTTCGGCGAACAAGGTTATGGCTACTGTTTTTTGGGATGCAAGAGGTATTATATACATTGATTACCTTGCAAAGGGTAATACTATCACTGGTCAATACTACGCAGACTTATTGCAACGTTTGAGCCACGAGGTGAAAATTAAACGACCTCATCTGGCGAAGAAAAAAATCTTGTTTCATCACGATAACGCACCAGCGCACACGTCAATCGTTGCGACGGCTAAAATCAACGATCTAAAGTTTGAATTGATGCCGCACCCTCCTTACTCTCCAGACCTAGCCCCGAGTGACTATTTTCTGTTCCCTAATCTCAAAAAATGGCTTGGCGGTAAGAGATTTGCGGACAATGAAGAAGTAATCGAAGCTGTAAATGGTTATTTTGAGGAGCTTGACGAATCAGTCTATAGAGATGGCATTAATAGACTGGAACACCGCTATGAGAAATGTATCAGCCTTGGAGGAGATTATGTTGAGAAATAAAAAAAAAAAATTTTTAAAAACCTTGTTTTTCTTGGTCAGGCCGGAAACTTATCAATCCACCCTCGTATATCTAATTCTAATCTATTCATTCAAAGTCTACTTTTAAATTTTCTAATTTCCCTACTTGTCTCATTGTCCTAACATTCCACACTCCGACTCGTGAAATATTGCACCTACCCCTATTACACTTATTCATGACATCCCCCGTGGTAGTCCCCGCCCGGACATCCGAATGGGGGACTAGTTTACGTCCGGAGTGCTTTACCCCAGAGGACGCCATCATTTAGTTTCGGTGAGTTCTACTTGGGTTATCATAATGTGGTGGTTTCCCGTTACCTTCCACATCGCAGTATTCTGCATTAGAGTGCCATACCGATTCTTATGATCTCTGCCACCCTCAGTACTGAAAGAGCTGCTGCCCTCTTTCAGGGAATTGTCTTAGTCTGGTTTCTCTTTAAGAACCCATTATGGTTGAACCTATAGTCCGGCTTCCTAAATCATTGAAACTCGCAAGCCGATCCACCCACTCTAGTTTGTACAAGAGTTTCGTCAAAGTTCAAGTCCCGTCGAATCAGAAACTTTAATAGGTAAATTAATATCTTATAGATAAGTAATAGTAATTTTATTAAATTTCCAAACCATCATTGAGTTATTGCCAAGATATTACCTTTTTATTGATAGTTCGCCGAAAGCCCTATCTTCCCAATACAAAAAATTAATTACAACACTAGTAAACACACACACATATACCTACGCACGCTATAGAAATTATTTTTGAGTCGCCTAAAAACGTCCGACATTTAGCGTACTTCATTTGCAGCGATCATACACGGTCGTGCAGCTGTGGTAAGCTGTGAAGTCTAACTTACCCGCTTTTTTTAAAATAACTAAGCATTTGTTTGCTATTTCAGTTTCTTTTTAAATTTCCGGTTTTTCACCTCTTGCCTTAAGAGTTTTTAGTATTTTACAAGGTCATCCCTACCCTGTCCACAATTTTCCACCCTTACAGGTGAGGGTGACGGTCTTCTCAACTGCACAATTACGATTTTCGATTTTATCTCCACTCCCTGTGCCTCCACGTCTATGCCCCCACCTAAAAGTACTTATTTGGTATTTTAAGATCTATAAAACTGAGTTAGATGTCGGCATGACGGATTATAATTGTTGTGTATTGTTAACAAAACTAAGAGACGATAAGTGCTTTTTTTTCACTAATATTTTTAGCCTTACTATAAACATAAGTTTTATTTAATAAAGTTTATATACACTCTACAAAACTACAAGAGAAGGAGTCTAACTTGGACACGGGCATATTAATGTTACTCGACTACATTGGGACGACTAAAAAAGTATGACTTCTAACTGCTACTCTATGGGTAAAGACTTACCGTTGAACTTAAAAATACTACAGATGCGTATTTGCCACATGACAAAGTATAACCTATAATTAAAAGGAAAAGCACTAAGAACTACACAGAGCTCCACAAGCTTTTGTTGCACAATACCCATAAATTTCTCTAGTAGAAAAAATACAATGTATTTGTTTAAAATTACAAATCAACACCTACCACTTAATTGGTGGTCAATCAGCGATCATCTGAAACTTTAATGCCCGTTTGCACCGACGTTTTACTAAGGCAGACTTAACAAAGTACTGCTTAATCATAAGTCTTACTTAACTTCCAATTCGTTTGCACCTGCAACTTAAGTAAGTAGTGCTTAGTTGTTGATGGTTTGGCAACAACGGTAAAATTTAGTAATTTCTAGGGTTTTTTGTGCAGAATGGTCAAGAAGTTTCAAATTTATTGTGTCCGTTAAGTAACATCTGGTGTCGTGAAGTGTTGTTTGCCGCCTTTTTCTGCTTTTATACGTTTTTGTTTTTGTAATTATTTGTGTTTTGTTAGGTTTTGTTGTGTTTTAGTTTGTATATATATTAGTGATATGATGTTAGAAACAATTTTTAGTTGTAATTGGTATAGTGTAGAGACAATTTTCTTCTGAATTTCGTATAAACAAACCTTTTCCAACTAAAAGCAGTACTACAGGAGTTTAACTGTTAACGCCAACTGCCAAAATGAACTCTTAAGTGTAATCTAAAAGTGTTTATTTTCAATAAAAACCAAACTTCTGATAAAACGTACTATTATTGTATATTATTAGTTCACCTTCTATTACTAATGATTAGCTATTGGCGTTCTTATCACTACTCCAGTTAAATTGTGTACATTTTCAAATTTCTAATATATCATCAGATACTAATTACTACTCTTGGAATGTAAATAATCCGTACATTGCAATACAATAACATAAATGATAACACACACCAACTTCCATTTAATGATAATTTAATTTAATAATTATTATATTGTTTATTTTATTATTTAATATTAACATGATAATAACCTCTTTACTATAACGATGTTATTTTCTTACGGCGAAAAATGCCGAACTACTGCCGAAATTGTTACGACAGGCTTAAGCGATGCTTAAGTCAGGAACATCCTGTGCTTAAAGTTAAGCATCTGTTTCGATTCTTAAGCGCGACTTAACTTGCGGTGCAAACCAATTCCTTCTTTTAAGAACTACTTAAAGCTAAGTAGTACTTTTTTACGTCGGTGCAAACGGGGAATAAGAATTCGACAAAAAATTGATGGTGGTCAATATTCTGTCTAAACCGTCGAACGTGGAATAATATACAGGGTGTTCTATTTAAAATAAAGAAGTCAGGATACACTTCCAGTATAACCGGGTAGAATATTGCTATATTTTTAATGAAAACAAGTGTTTGGATTATATACCATTGTATTTGTTCTTCCAACATTTTACAATAAGATACAAATGGCAACTTTTTACAGTGATGCCTAAAATTCTTCTCTTCTCTTGCCGAAAAAAATTGAAATAATTATAGTTACTAAAAATGATAATCCCAGGGATTTATATTAACCATAATTTTGATCGTAAAGTCATTGTTTTTGTGATACCGTTGCAGTTGCTTTAATATTAACTTCGTTTTCTGTGAAGTGATGCTATTTTGATTCGGGCCGTCGTGTGTTGGAATTGCTTCCTAACGTTTCGCTAGCACATTAGACCCGAATCAGAATAGCATCAGTTCACGTAGTGGCTGCGAAAGCCTTTACCAATTTGTTCTCTTTCTGTGACGTATATTAAATTGAATATGCTTAAACAATCTTTTATTGCTCTTTATAACAGGAAAAATGGGTTAAAAATTTACCTGTAGCTTTTAATGTGACTTTTATTTTCAATTTCAATTAACCATTTGGAAAACGACAATTGAGAATATACAACATACCAAAAAATATCTTTTCCTTATTCTTCTTTATTATCAGCTGAATATAATACAAAAATATAATTATATTACTCTAAACATACTTCTTTGTTATCTTCTTGCGAATGGGTATCGTATTTAAGAAAGTATTCCAAGAGCCGCCGCTAGAGCGCAAGGAGATGGTGGTGGTGGTACACATGCAGGACGAGGTTGAGGAACAGGGACGGGAAGTTCACAGGGTACTGGTACTGGTTCGTATACGGGTTGTGGAACGGGTAGTCCACAAGGTACTGGGACATTTTGAGGAATTGGTAAAGGTACAATTTGAGGAACGTATTCTGGTATAGGTTGCAACACTGACACAGGTTGGGGTATCGGTTGTTCTACGGGAACGGGAATTGCCTCTGCAATACGTTGTAGGATAGGCAATAGTTGAGGTTCAAGGTATGGTTGAGGGAAAACTTGATCGATGACTTTTTGTTGTGACACTGGTACTGGCACAGGTTGTGGTACAACTTCAGGGACTGGTACCTGATTTATGCATGGTTGAGGATAAGGAACAGGGACGGTTTGAACTACAGGGATCATTTCGGGAACTGCAACTTGAATAATTTGAGGTACGGTAACAGGTCTAGGAACAGGTACGGAATAAGGGAACGGAACTGGACTTCCAACTGGAAGCACTTCTTGGATGGGGTATGGTTGAGGTACATTAACTGGTTTACCCACTGGATATGGTACTTTTACATCATCTGGTACTAAAAAGGGCACATACTCGTTAACAGTGACGGGAGCGGGTGCAGCTATAGAAGTTGTTTCTGTGGTTACAACACTATTTGGGAAGGCAGCACCTGACAGGGCCGCAGCTGACAAACCAGCTGCGTTTAAAGCATTTATTAAAGCTGCTGGTAAAGAAGATAATGAAGCTGCTGATTCGTAAGCTATACCATTGACGTAAGGCTGATTCACCTGGGTGTAACTTGTACTTTGTGTAGCTAAGGGACAAGCTGCTGTACTTGCCAACTAAATAATAAAAAAGTATGATTAGCAAAATTATAATTAGCTGAGGACACCTTAATTTTTATTTGACAAGTAAAACTAATTTTTTTAAAAATTCAAAATACATTACCATTAAATAGGCATAATCTAAAAAAAGTACCTAGGTATTTCATATTTTAAGGAACGTCTAATAAATATATATAGCACTCACCACTGCAACCATCAAAACGATGATGCTTGCTTTTGTTTTCCCCATATCCTTTTTGCCTTTTCGTCTCTTTGTATGTAACGCAAAATTTGATATGAGATTCGATACATTTCGTCAACTTTTTATAGTGAATTTGAATAAGTCAATGAATAGATGTTTAATAATTAAAGTTCACTGTACTTCAAAATGGTATACGTTGTTGCGATATGTCACGTAACTATTTACCTAAAATTATTTCAACAATTCCTTATATTATTACAAATGCTAGTGTTTTATTTTTTTAGTAACTACGAACTAGTTTTATTTTAAAACGTGCTAAAAATCGATTTGTAATGATTTGTTGTTATTACGCGAACCAATTCCACTTTACGGAATTATTTGTACGTTACGCATAATAAAATATACATAATAATAATAATTATTAGATATTATACCAAAATAAGATAATTGTTAAAATTTTTAATTAGAAAATATGTATCAATGTTAGTATTAAAATTGCAAGAAATTGGTTTCGTTCTACTCAAAGTAAATTATTTCTTTTTTACTATTCAAAATTATCTGCTACCTAAATGATTTGGAACAAAAAACAGAAATTAAATAAACTATCGTAGCACCTACCCATCAACTGATTTGGCACTATTTTTACTATTGGAGGCAACAGTAACTTGGTCTAGCAGTCAAAAAAGTTGCAAATAATAAATTTGTACATAAAAGCCACGACCTGTATCTATAAAATAATAATCAGTGAAAATCAGTAACTAATCATTGGATGTTATCTGACAGAATTGACGATACGTACAGCAACAAAATTAGTACCTAAAAAATAAAATAATTAATTCATTTAATGACTTCTGCTATTAATAGGATGTCCTATGAACAGCGGATAATGTTTCAACCACATATGTACTGAGGAGCCCTAAGGCCATCCCAAACACTAAATTTTATGTTTAATAAAAATCGCACGGTTTCTGAGTGATTTGAACTTTTATATATTGACACCCCCAATTATTCTGGTGGCTAGCGCTACAATCACAAACCAAGAACTATTTTAAATTTTTTTTTTGATAATCTTAAACAGTTGTGCTATCAGACGTATTAAGAATTAATGAGTAGCTCTGTTGTTTTTTTTTACACTTAAATCAAGATTTTGTTTCACGCACACTTTTTTTAAAACTACTATTTACGGGACATCCCGAATATATGTTGTGCTTCATAATTAAATTTAACATTTCCCCAAAAATAATCCATAATCAAAAGTAATTGGTAACTTCTATTTTAAAAATCCTGAACGATTAAAATGTGTAGTGCAACTAAGAAACTACAAAACTTATTAAAAACTAAAAACCAATGATAAATTAATTACATTATACCTCATATAGGTACACAATTACTAAACTAAAACAATTTAACAAATCCATTTCAAAACAGTGTTAGTAGTTTTGTTTACTTTTAATACCAACAATTTCTTCTTGCAAACTGAACATTATATTTGTGCGAACACTCCAAATAATACGTGATCATTACTAATTACGTACTTATCTATTTTGACCTGCACCAACCCCATGATAAGTGCAAATAATATAATAAATATTTATTAAACAAATTTGACAAATAATAAAGAAGGGGCAATTAAAAAGCATGCTTTAGAACGTAATTGTAAGGTATGCTTATTTACTCATATTTACTGCCAACTGTAGTACTTCATATCTTTGACAACGGCCTTACGAAGGTATCTGTCTAGTGGGAAAATGAATCCATGACGCAGTGTATGTTATGTAATAGGCAGGCTAAATCAGTCAAATTAATATCTAAAGATCATTAGACTCTTGGTCAGCTACACATCAAAATTACTACTGATAGATGTCGATTTCCTACTTACTAGTTCTCATCAGCACATCATAAGCAGCTTCAACAATTCAATGATCAGTCATTAAGTTGATATAGGCAATGTCAAGGTGTAGGGAGTATACCTTCATCTACAGATGTTTACTGTTATCTGTACTACATCATTATCATAAGGTCGTCAGTCCTAAGACCGGTTGGACACGTACTTTTCCTACCCTGAGCTAATTTTCGCATTTTCCTAAAACTGAAACACCCCATATCCTTAGCTATTTGCAGACAATAATCTAATCTAGGTCTACCTCATACATATTTCATATTAATATGGCGATATACTGCCTGTACCTTCACACCCTGTACATCAATTTGCATTATCCCGATTACGCCGGTTGTAGACACATTTAGGGTACTAAAATGTAAAAACTAGTGCCTTTTACGCATTTTTCTCTTTGAATATATTGAACAAAGTTTTCACTTCATTTATAATTTTAAACCAAAAATATGCGCATGTTTCTTTTTTCCAAGTCTATCTGTTCTTTCCTTTTCAATTGTTCGCCAACGGCTAATTATAAATATTGCTATTAGCAAATTCCTTACAAACGATATGTTTTTGCCTTCTCTACTCTCAGGCTATTTGAGATAAACTTTCACTTTTTTTTTTGTTATAGCATATCATTTGAGGATGTACGATAAAACTATTTCATTAGTAATTGAAATATCGTATCGAGATCACAATTGGGTAATTAGAAACTTAAAAATGATCAACTTTCTTCTTAGACAACATGACACCCATGTTTGCTGTGTCTATCATGGCAGCCGGCGAATGTAAATTCTATCGACTTAATGGGTTTTTGCTAATTATAGTAGTAAATTCAGCGTTAGGATTTTGTACCCTTCAAAAATAAATTGTAAACTCGCGCGGTTTGTGCTCAGATATGCACATAAAGTAGAAACAACATCTTAACTAGGTACCTACCTATTAAATATAGATACATGTATTTTATAATAGAGTACATAACAAGCCAAGGCATTTATTTAGATACCATACAGTTTTTCACACTTGAAAGAAAAAAATGAGCTCCTTATTGCTACTTTGCTCTGAAATAATTCACTTTTTATTTATCTCTCTTTGGAAATTTTGCAAAGATACTCTTCTACTCGACAAAGGTAACATTTTCACCAAACAAGGAATAATAGGTAGGGTAGATTAAGTTATGGTGGGTAAAAGTTCCGTCCTCCCCTCAGTGGATTAACATTTACATATTCTATTTTCTTTCGATTTGTACACAGCGGCCAAATTTACATTTTAACTTAATAATCTTTTGCTACTTGTTGTGATAGTGGGTCGAATATCCCACTACCCCAATCAGCAACGCTGGTCCCAAAAAGTTTGACCAGTGAGTCAGGAACTGTCGGTTGGTTCAAAAAGTGTTATTACGCTTGGTAGTTTGAAAAAGGCCTTGACAAAAACGGTAAATGTTTTTCATTTTTATGATGCAAAATTGAAGACGGGTGTTTTTGATGGACCACAAATAAGGGAAAAAATCCAAATTTTTTAAATATCATGAATAAACTCTCGTGTTTGAAGCTTGGTGATTAAGAATTTCCTTTGAATTAATAAGTCGGATAATTACTTTAAATTGGTTCAGTGTATTCTCTCTAGTTTAAAGAGTTTAGTACTTATTAATTTGATGGTATTTTGGTATTAGATGTTTATTAGTACCTGTATTACTTGTAGCACTAGCTGAACTCGTCCAAACTTGGATGGAGTATCTGTAGTCGATGGTGCATAGTACCTACTTATCCGCAATAGGTACATAGCACTTTACATATGCAAATCAGGGAAACATTTGCCACCAAAACCTAACGTAAATGCTTGGTGTAAAGTATCTATCCTTGGTGGATACCATTTTATCCTTGTTGTACAGCTCTTCAAATATGCTAATCAGTGAAATAAACACAGCTAATATTTTCTTCCTAATATTATTGTGCCTGTACCATTTTTTTTCTTTTGTCTGATATATTTATTTGACACCTGTTCTTATCATCCACTTTATAATTTTGGGATTGTTGCTGCGGCCCAGAGTGTTTGCGAGTTATAATGCTCTGTGGAATTTCTTATGGAAAATATGTTTATTTACAGTACATGACTATTGACTGGACGCTCTCGCAAGACGGCCCTTTTAGACCCTCTCACGGATATATCATCTTCCTCGTGGCTTTCTTGGTGAGAAAACAACTTGACTGGCTATGTAAGTAAGGCGAGTTTTCCATGACTCCACGATTGAACTTTTGGAGATTTGTTTTCCCAAATTTTATGTCGATCAATTAACTTTGGTGGTTCCTTTGATTAATCCTCGAAATTAAAAATAATGAGAAGGTGTTATTTAATGTTATGAGAATGAGATATTATTATTAAAAGGTTATTACTTAGGTAATTATTGTATTTTTTTTATGCCTAGTAATAGGCTCAATTTCAATTATTTGTGCATAGCACCGTTTAATAGCTCAATTTATTTCTTGCTTTATTGCTGTGGTAAAATGTCATCCCCTTATTTGGTAGTAATTAGAGTAGGTGCTCAAGTGGTTGTATAGCGGAATTTATCGTGGGTGCCAATAACGCCAGCTCTGATCTAACTCAAGAATCCTGAAGTTTAGCTTACACTTCAACACTTCTTTTGGACAAGTTGGGGTATCTAAAGAACTCGCGGTCCTCATGTCAAAGTAATCGTCTTTCTCAGTAGTCTCCTAACTGTACAATATGTTTAGTGTGCAGCAGGTGTCGGTATTTTGAAACCTTTGGGGCAACTTTAAATATGTATCTAAATACGTACACTTTAGGAAGTTGTATTTTACAATATTTTCTTATGAGAACCTTGAGCTCTCATTTCAATGTCCAGGAATCGCTGACTGAGCATTTATGAAGCATTTATTTAGTGGCTCTTGGGTTCTTTACAGTTAGCAATATGGGTCCCGAGCATACCTTTTGTTTTACTACTAATTTTCAAATATTCACGTTTTGATGATAAAATAAACGCCCCTTAAATTAGATTTCGTTAAATTCTACAAAATTATCGCATTATTACCAACCTAGTATTTTTAATCAACATGCATATCAGTTTAATAGTAGAGTGAAACATTTTTTTTTTTATTTAATTCTACCTACTCTTCTGAGTTTTCATATTAAATATAGCGCCTATTTTAAGACTTTTGAAGGCATTGCTGTCCCATTTAGAAGGATATACCCATGAAGTTACAATCAAAATACGCCGCACTTAAAGGCAAAATCGACCTGTTTCAAGGATTTCCGATAAAAAGGTTATTGCAGTTGAAAATATTCCAGGTGGAAAGTTTTAAATGCGCACGCCCCTTGTATACGTCGTATATGAGGATGTAATGTATATATTTTGTTGGTATAAGTGTTTTAATAGAAGTTTGATTCTGACCAATAGAATATTACGCAAGGTTTTTGTGTAGTTATATATCGTTTCCATTGTGAAAATGATGGCTTGTACTAGAATAACAGGACGAGCACTACTATTAATTTATTTATTCAGGTATACGAAGGGCTAGTTAGCGATCTAGCTACGTTTTCTGTGAGAAGCGGTAGATCATTCAGCCAGTGGCATCATGTGGACTGGTGAGGTTGCACGAACTATAGCCCAAATGCTGCACCCAATATAATTTGGGGGCTATGGGTAGCTGTAGGAGCGAAGAGAACCCCTGAAGTCTTCTCTAAAAAAATCTTCTGGGCGTTCCATTCCTACCAGTTACCAATGCTAGTGGGCGGGCAGTCACTTTGGGTAAAGCGTAAGGCCCCATTTAACCTCCTCCGTAGGAACGGGTGGATAATGCTGGGATCAAGAAAAATAAGACAGACGGTATGAAGGCAGAAGAAAAGTGAAAGCTTTATCTGTTCTGAGTGATTCAAGAAAGTCACACATAATCTTGGACTAGGATAGATGAACCTGGAATCGAGCCGGTATCCTCCTGAATGCTAAGCAATGTCTTTCAGAATCGTTGTGATTAACCATCATTGTCATATATTTTTTCTAGCGTTTGTAGTAGTGTGTATCGTTGTCTGCGAAAAAATTATTGCTGTGGATCATATAAAATAAAGTATCAAGATACGGTTCAAGAAGTAAGCGTATTATGATGAATTTTTCAGACCTCCTTATTAATAAAAAGAAGAATAATTCAGCATAATAAAAGAGTAGGCAATGAATAAAATTAATTTATTAATATAATATCAATTTCAAGAATACATCACTATTTTAGAATATTTAAAATGGACTTAGTAGGTAATAGGTAGGTAATGTCTACATTTAAAAAGAAAAACAAAGATGCTAAAAGTGAAAATGGAAACAACAATATCTCAATACTTTAGAAATTAAATTTAGTATCTTAACTAACGTAAGATGCTTATTGTATGGTCGTCTCTGTAGTTACTTTTTGTTTATTTAAAGATTTTCCATCTGAAGAGCATAGAAGATCTGACTAGTTATATTTTAATTGTTTTTTTAAGGACTAGCTGTATTTTAAATTATTGGACTGCAGTTTGTAAAAGTATTTCTCTTGTAACAGTTATCATTTTTCTATTAATGGAAAATAAACAACTAAACTTGCAGTGCAAATGCAAGTAATGATTTTCTAGGATTTTAAATTCTCCACCAAAACGATCCTGTTAGTCAAATTGTCAAACTCTATCTCGGAAAGCAGTCTATCCACATCATGTGAAGTTTTATATATTTTTACGAAAATTTTACAAAAGATAATCCGTCTCTACCGTGTTTCGTTCTTATTACAAAAGTTTTGCATTACGTTTTTAACTTTTTTGGAAATGATAAATTCATACAAATGATAAATTTCAATATATATATTTATTACAAATAGAAAATTGAACATTGTACTGAACTGTAGAGATTCCATAAAGGAACAATACTTTAAGAGTACCTACAGGTTTATCAGTTTAAATGTAAATAGAAATATATCCGGTTTCTTTCTTATAAAAAACATTATTCAGTTAATTATTCTAAGGTTAAAAGTATAAACCACAAGGTACAGGAACGGGCTGAGGTACTGAGATAGCTTCCGGCACAGGTATTAATTGAGGGGCGGGTACTTCTTGTATAACTGCGCAGGGCAGAGGTTGTGGTACGGGAACTTGTACGGGGTATGGTTGGGGTACGGGTACTTGTTGTGCGCAGGGTACTGGTACAGGCTGAGGAACTTGTACAACTTCTGACACAACTTGTGGCACAGGTTGAGGTATTGGAACGGGACGGGGAATTTTGTTCACAGAAACTTGGACTATAGGAACAGGATAAGGAACATTTTGGCCAACTGGTATAGGAACACGAACATTAATGGGCTGCTCCACTGGGACAGGAACAGCAACGTCGATAGGGAATAACTGAGGTACTGAGACTGGTTGAAGAACAGGCACAAACACAGGGATTTCCACAGCATCTTGAACTGGTACTGGCACAGGGACTGACACAGGTTGAGGGACACTTACACCACATGGTACTGGTTGAGGTACAGCTACCACTTCTTCTACAGGGAAAGGATCAACAATTTGAAATGGAACTGGGAATGGTACTTTCTTAGTTATGATTTGTGGTGCTGGTTGTAATATAGATTGAGCTTGGATTGGTCCTGCAGCTGAAACAACTGAGGATATAGCAGCGTTGGAGTGCGGGCAACCAAGTACAGCCGAGCTGCACAACTGAAAAGAATAAGTTAATCAGGTACATAAAAGTTCAGTTGATGTTTAATGCAATAAACGATAAAACCAAAGTTAAAAAAGCTTGTATTTGATATGGTAACGAAAACATTTTATTTTCATTGTAACTAATAGAAGTAATAAAAGTATGAGGTTTATTATTTGGGATTATTGTTAAATTTACATTAAAATAGAAAATGCATTTCTAGAAGCTAACATAAAAAAAAATATTAAACTCATTTTAAATGTACATTAAAGATTTCCTTTATTTACTTACGAGGAAAAGGAGTGCTACGAAATTAATCATTTCGGAAGACAATCTTCAATACTTTCCTCAATCAAATGGAAAGGTGGGGGTATGACAAGGTGAAAAACTAATTGTTACTGGTGAATTCTAGTCGTTACCAATTTTTAAATACTCACCGAAAACTACTGTTTTTATTTAACTCGCATAAATTGTCTAATTAAGTTCATTGAACAGCTGGAGAACGTGATTAACAACTAAAATAAACAATTGAAAATGATTAATTTTTACTCAGCACGTGATAATTTCACCCGTGTAGTTTTTGAATAAACATTGATATTTATGGATGTATTAAAAAAAAAAGTCGTTTTCTATGCACATTTTAATAAGAAAGCCATTACAATTATACTATTAATTATAATTAGATTCGTTATAATTTGGTTATATATTATAAAACGCTACCTTAACAGTTATAGTGAATATTTTATTGTGCTCAAGAAATTTGGTAATTGATAATATAAGTAATATTTGTTATATTGCTACTCCATAAAAATCGCTAATAGAAATTTGGAATTTACGCTTACATCATACCTCTTCAATTTTTCTTATTTTATCACCATTTATTTGTTAAAAAAGAAGTGTTATTCTCAAAGAAGCTCGCAGAATGATAATGAATCTGTTTGAGTTTAAAACAATACTGCAACGTATATTTATTGATTTGGTTTAGCACACACTGATGTAATATTTGCATATTGATAATAGACTACAAAACATATTAATACAACTAATAAACTTGTCATGTACGATATGTATAAACTCGTCCAAGCTTCCTAATCGTACCACTTTGTGGATCGTAATTCGTACCGGTAGGTGTTTGGAACTTTACGGTTTACTTTTATTTTTCTTTTAATTCCGACAAAGCAGACATAAGATGAAGTAGAGTTTAAAACAATTTAATTCCACTAGAATTTTAAAACAAGTAATAACATAAAAGCCTCTTAGGGACCACTAACGATAGGTAAATGAATATGATCAAAAGCTCAGAATATACGAAATGAACTATGAAGGCTGTAGTCCAGTGGGTAGAGAATTTTCCGGACATAAATTTGTTACCGGACGGGAGTTGTTCCATGTTGTAGGGGGGACAAGTTAAACATCCCTGTATATTTTTAAACTTCGAAAAAGTGTACGTTAACAAATGGGGGATGTCCAAAGTTGGAAAAAACCAGATTTTTAGATCTAGAAGGCAAGGTATGAAAAAGAAAAACAGCTCAATCCGATGAAAATTTTCAGAGTTATTTTGTCCGCGTTCTCCGATTGACGCGGCGCGCCAGTCTGCAATGTTTTATTCTCACCGCTAACTACGTTGCGTCGTCAGGAATTACTGATCAGTTTAGAAAGGTCTTTTAGCAATAACAAAAAATTACTACTTTTTTAAAAACAATACTACAAAATATGAATGTTTCTCTATCAAATGCCCCCAAATTCATTATTTAATAGTTAAAAACAATTAATCTGTGATGTTTAAAAGAAAAAATGTTAACTCGGTTTCTATTGGTCGTAGGAGATTCGTTTTGCTCTTTTAATGTTTGTTTTGAAGTCACCTTTTCATATTCCTCAGTTAAAAATTCGTACGTTACGTAGGGGTCGCTCCAGCTCTAATTGTTTATAATGAAAAATGACTCCCTTATTTACAGAAATAAATAAGGGGATAAAAATGAATTTTTTGATATGCCCCTAACGGGATCTGAAGAACTCCACTTTACAAAGAGATTGAACCTACGTGCAACTGAAAATGTTTGCTCAAAAAAAGTTACGGCAATAACTCTTCATGTCTGTTGGGATAAACAATTAACAATATCTCACTAACAAATTGACCAATTTACGCCCACAAAAATCAGTTCGATTCCAAATTTAAAAACCGTCATTTCAATGTGATAAAATCAGTAAAAAAGTAATTTTAGCAATAAACAATCAATATACAAGAAATGGCAATTTTTGATGATTTTTTGGGATTTGTGCAATAACCAATTGACAAAATTGATCGTACCTAGGCTCAAATTTAAGGTTTTTAATTTCTTTACAATTTTTATTTGAGAAATTTCTTTCCAAAAAGCATACTTTGCCTTTTAGACCTAAAAATCTGTTTTTTGCGAAATTTGGACCTCCCCCATTTGTTAACGCACACTTTTTCGAAGTTTAAAAATATACAGGGATGTTTAACTTGTCCCCCCCTACAACATGGAACAACTCCCGTCCGGTAACAAATTTATGTCCGGAAAATTCTTTACCGATTGTGAGTTTGAATGTGTTGGGCAAACAAAACTGAAAATCTTATAAACGTACGGAAAACATATCGTTCACTTCAGATTTAATCATAATTTTAAAACAAACACTTCTTATAGGGTCTAAATGTTTAAAATTAAACACAGAAATTTCTTACAAATCGAAACTTGGGAAATTTAGGTACATATTCAAAAGAATTATTTATTCAGAATAATTATCTCACCAGGAATTCAGACTTTGAACCCAAGCTTAATTCCGTCTTCTTTAACTATTGCAAAAGGTTTAGTTGAGAATGACCACATTAGAAGTAGGTGAAACATGTGTCGGCCGTGGCCACGTTTTGTGGTAATTGAAGCGAGAATATCTGCTACCTTTCAAAACTGTCTCTTTTGTTACTATTCAGATTTTGATATTTTTTTCGAATAAAAAATGTTTTGACATGTTACGGCCATTTACTAAGTACGATTTAGGAGCCAGGTTTCCTAAATTGTATTGAATACAGTACTTCTTAATTTTATAAATACACATAAAATTTTGAAGCGATATCTATGCTCTACAGTTTAAGTTGCAAAGGATATACGAGGGTGGATTGATAAGTTTCCGGCCTGACCAAGAAAAACAAGGTTTTTAAAAATTTTTTTTTTTTATTTCTCAACATAATCTCCTCCAAGGCTGATACATTTCTCATAGCGGTGTTCCAGTCTATTAATGCCATCTCTATAGACTGATTCGTCAAGCTCCTCAAAATAACCATTTACAGCTTCGATTACTTCTTCATTGTCCGCAAATCTCTTACCGCCAAGCCATTTTTTGAGATTAGGGAACAGAAAATAGTCACTCGGGGCTAGGTCTGGAGAGTAAGGAGGGTGCGGCATCAATTCAAACTTTAGATCGTTGATTTTAGCCGTCGCAACGATTGACGTGTGCGCTGGTGCGTTATCGTGATGAAACAAGATTTTTTTCTTCGCCAGATGAGGTCGTTTAATTTTCACCTCGTGGCTCAAACGTTGCAATAAGTCTGCGTAGTATTGACCAGTGATAGTATTACCCTTTGCAAGGTAATCAATGTATATAATACCTCTTGCATCCCAAAAAACAGTAGCCATAACCTTGTTCGCCGAAAAAATTGTTTTTGCCTTCTTTGGAGTTGGTTCCCCTGGTCCAATCCACTGTTTAGACTGTTCTTTGGTTTCAGGAGTGTAGTGGTGGACCCACGTTTCGTCAACGGTTACGAATCGACGCAAAAATTCGCTTGGATTACGCTTATACAATGACAAATTTGCGGTAGAAATGTTTTTTCGAATCAATTTTTGGTCGACTGTTAGCAAACGCGGCACCCATCTTGCACAGAGCTTTTCCATATGCAAATGTTGGTGCAAAATATGTTGCACACGTTCATATGACATCTTACAGGTCTCAGCTATCTCACGCACTTTCAATCTGCGGTCTCCCAGCACTATTTGATGAATTTTTTCGATCATATCTGGAGTTGTGACCTCAACGGGGCGTCCTGAGCGAGGCCCATCAGAGGTGCTCACACGACCCTTTTTAAACTCGGAAACCCACTGCTTAACGGTTGAATATGACGGGGAGGATGTCCCCAGTGTTGAGTCCATCTCTTTTTTAATTTCCTTCGGCGTTAACCCCTTCAAATAAAAGTATTTGATGACAGCACGATTTTCCTGCTTTTCCATTTTTACGAAAACCACAGAGGCGTCTTGTTCAGCGTGCTGTCAAACCTACACTAGCAAGGAGATCGGGCTGAAACTATAGCTACAAGCTATCCAAGGATGGTACTATAGAATGTCACCTCAAGGTAGGCCTAGTGGCGTCATCTCTTGGTTAGGCCGGAAACTTATCAATCCACCCTCGTATAAAGCTACTGAAATATCATAATGACTTTAAATTTATCAAAATATCAATACTTTCAAAAGTAATACTAAATAGGCTATCTTTCCCTACCTTTTATTATTATTCCACTTATACAATTCATTATTTCCACACTAAATTGCGGAGTGCCTCGTGTCGCGATGAGAAGAAAATACGCCGGTGATGGTTGATGTGCATAAATATAACAGACGATTAAGATTGAGCTTAAGCCCTTGAGCTTTTTAGAATATGGTGTCATTGGTATGGTATCTACTTACTGCAACGCCCAAAATTTGCAAAAATACATTACATTCACGAAATCTCAGCTGCGTGAAGTTGGAGCCGTTACTTCTGAATTAATGTTACTTTACTTCCTTAAGTATTGAAGAGCAATTGATTTCAGGTATATATTAACTGGGATATTAATTGTAACGTAAAGCAGGATCCATATTCGCAAAAGAAATATCCTGTTATAGGTATTTAAGGTACATTTTGCAGCTAAAATAATCCGTATCTTGTATCCGATATCCGAGCACTATTACTAGTATCTGTATCCGATATCCAAATATACTTTACCAGTAAGAATAGAAACTCAGCTCTGTGGATGCATGAGTGCTTGCGCGCGTGTGTGTGTGTGTTTCCGCGGTCATATATTTGCATTGTTATGCATCTATATGTATGCTGCTTTTTATTACAAAGAAATATTTGCTTTTTGATATAAAATCGTATTTGTTAATAAATTCAAACATTTCACATTCCAAATGCCAATTTTTTACAATGGTTGCTTGTTTACTTGTAATTTATGATTACTACGGTTTTCTTTAGTTTGCAAATGCTTGTGTTTAGCTTCGTATGAGGGCAATTTACTATTTAGGTGGTGCGTTATTATTTCAAATTCTTGATTGGGAAGTTGGAAACAACCGTTGCGAAACACGGGTATGAACATTAGACGCAAATCAAGAGTGATTAAAATTGATGAAAATAGTTTCAATTTACTATACTTATGCTTTCTTCGAAAAAAGAATATACATACTGCTTATCGGTCGAGTTTATCTGAACAAGTCTATTACCATTTGGGT